GCCTTTCCAGTCGCGTCAAGAGGTGATCAGCAGATATGCACGTGGAGAAAGCAGGCGCACGGAGTGTTCATCAGGTTTAACCATGGATCTATTTAACAGAAATCCAGGTGTTGTAGCAAACAGTTGAAGATATTTTCTCTAACCTCTAAAAGGTTAAATGTTCACATTAATCCGGTACAAGAATACAAATGAGCAATATTTATTTATTTGTATTTAAACTTTAAGTAAAACTAATACACACACATGATCCATAGATAAATGAAGAATAAAAGCAGTATAAAAGAGCACACAATTACATATTTACAACCGTTCATCCATGACTTGTCAGTATTGTCTCGTCTATTACATAGATTCTGTCTGGAAAATACAGTTGAGCTCCAAAAAACAAGTCCAATAAAGCTTAAAATAAGTAAAATGTTCCTTTCCGTTGCTTTGGCAAAAAACCATTGAACAAAAAATACACGGACCGGGTTGAATAGTTTTAGAATGCACTGAGACTAAAGCTGCGTTCAGACCGGATCATGGGTTGCATCGACTTTCAATGCAAAGTCAATGGTGACGCGCGTTCGAGCGTGGAACTGCATGTGCGTCTTGGGATGCACGCACGGACTGCGCGGTAGAGACCCACGGACTGCGCGGTAGAGACCCACGGACTGCGCGGTAGAGACCCACGGACTGCGCGGTAGAGACCCACGGACTGCGCGGTAGAGACCCACGGACTGCGCGGTAGAGACCCACGGACTGCGCGGTAGAGACCCACGGACTGCGCGGTAGAGACCCACGGACTGCGCGGTAGAGACCCACGGACTGCGCGGCAAAGGCACGGCAGAGGCGCAGAGGCAGAAAATCGACGCACGCAGGTGATAAATATTGCTGAGCATTTCCTCGGACGCTCGTGCAGCGACCAATCAGAGAGCCACAACGTGGTAACGGGGACATTAGGTCTGTAAACGTATGCCGCACCTCCTTGAACACATACTTCTGTTATACAACATCCAGAGACGCTGCAGAGCTGCATTATTGGAGAAGAACTTTACACAAAAAGCCGCTAGCTTAACTCCGTTAGCATCAAAGTCCGCCCGCTACTTCCGCCACATCCAGCGGGCGCCATCACAGGCCAGGACTACTGGTCTGAACACCCCTGCGTCTGAAAATTAAAGAATGTGCGTCTGGTGCGCGAGGCGTCATCGTTACAGCGTTGGAGGTGTGAACACACCTTAAACAACATTTTATTTTTGATAATGACTGCAGAAAGAAATGTATATTTACAAATGATTATCCAGCCCAATGTGTAACAAATCAAGCCAACCTACACTTTCATTTACCTTTTGGGATCTAAAAAAAAATAATAATAATAATAATAATAATAAATAGATAAATAAAAAAAAGATTACATTGGAAAAGTAACTACAGTAAACTATTGGATTTTTATAATCATTAATTACTATCTCTACTCACTCTACTCTGACAGAAAAGATTATTACCATAAACTGGATTCCATTCACCCTCATAAGAAAATGTGTTGAACTCCATTTTCCTAGTTCTAGTTCTAGCTCCTTGTACATGAAGGCTGCACTGATGCGATGTTACAAAGTGTATTTTGTCGGTGGACACACAACCACATTATGGACCCACTAATGATCATGTTGATTTGTAATCCACAGTTCTCATCATCATTCAACAGGAAGTATTTGGAGGGAGGCAGTCAACTCCCCCAATATTCATTTGACATGCATCAGCAGAGATGCATGCTTTTATTTCATCTATAAATAGAACGGCTGTATCTGCAGCATCACATTCACACTCACGCTACCGCACCTGCAAACAAGTGCCAGTGAACCATCACCGACAAAACGTTTGCATTTTATTTGAAAAACAGAAATCACAGAAGTCACAAAATACAACTCCATCACAACGGTTTTCAATTGTCTCAAAATACAGTCACAACACTGCCAAAATGTCCATGAACCACATATTAAAATAAAACTGCAGGTAAATAAATAGGTTTTGGATCAGTGGCAATCCAAAATGGGGGGAGTCTGAGTAACTTTGTCAAGAAAATATGAATTAGTGGCACATACAAGACTTTGAGAGGATAGATAAACCCCCATAGCCATGCATGAGTGTCATGACAGTAGTGAACGTTCCGGTTATTTACACCTGATCCAAAACTCTAAGTAAACCTGGAACTAGGATGGAGCAGTGAGCAGGACGTCCACAGATCCTGCTCATTGGCTTGCGTCAGTTTGTACAGGCCACACCCATGTTAGCCAACGCATGTTTGCACAGCGAACACACCTGCCTATTCCCAAAAGTACAAACAGAAATTGAGCACTTTGTTGGTTTGCGACTGACAGTAGCAGAAACAGATCCGTTATAACCACTGGCTACAAAACTCATGGCCCTCCAGACTTTGCCGTGTTTTTATTGTAAATGTTATGAGCAAACAGTCAAAGCCAAACAAAGTCTTTATAAATGGATCTACTGTACTTAAAAACAGGTTGATAGAATCTAGATGTGGGTTTGAGTTATAGAACGTGCATCCTCTTTCCATGTCAAGTTTGTAATCTGACAAGGAAGAAAATAAGTCGAATACAGCAGTGTTTTTATTCACGGCTGAAGTTGGCGGAGCTGTGTGCGGAGCCTGCTCTTATGCACCTGTCACAGAATCAGATGTGCGACATTGTCCGCTTTTTAAAGTTTGTCATCTGAAAAAACATCTGGGCTTAATTTTGTGCGAAGTTTGGAGTGGTTTGAGAGATGAGGCCAGAGTATGAGCGTGAGAGAGGAGGTGGTATACTGAAGCCACAGCTGCCACTAAGTGCTGAATTAATGATTGATGCATGGAATTGTAAAGGCCAAAGGCGGTTTTATATGAGAGACCTGGTATTTAAGCTCAAAACCAAAGGGCGTATCGACACGGGACTCGCAACGTGAACGTTCGACTCACCCAATCAAATCAATGTGATTTTATACCTCACCTGACTCACATGTAAGCAGTGGGCTTTAATACAGTTTCTTGTTTTTGCGCTTTATAAAGTGTAGGGTGTGATGAGGGTCTAATGTATGTATTCTTTTATATGTATTATTTTGTTTTTATTTTTGAAGTGCTCGTTTGGAAGTACATTCCTGTAGAGGCAGCGTCATAGGGGGTGAACGCAAAAGGACATTACACATAAAATTTGAAAAGTATTGAAAACACATCTACAAAAATTAAAATAAAAAGTATACACACCAGCGTGCCATGTGTGAGCCCTATCCGAACGCTTAAGACAGAGGCTCCATGCATTATAGATTTTATTATTATTAAAATGACTATTTCTAGGGCCACAAGATATATCATAACCAAAGATGAATAGACACAATTGGAAAATCAAAGTCCGTTATCAGCCGACATGGTTTCATTAACTAACATCTCACCCTAGACTAGATCAGGGGTGTCAAACAGGTCCTCAAAGGTCCGAGTGGCAGCAGAATTTTGTTCCAAACAAGCAGGAGCCCATCAGACTCCACACATTTCCTCAAGTCTTCAGGGGAAGACAAGACTCACTTGGACTAAATGATTAAAAAGCACACCAAAAATAAACAGAAGAAGTGATGATGCATTTCGATAAAAAGCGACTTCTATACTGATTGTGTTTTGATATCAATGGTGTGAGTAACACGGCCACACAGCTGTTCACTCTCACATAAGCCTCTGGGGACAAACAGAACTGCTCTGAACTGCCACTTGACTAGATTGTAGAGTTTACTTACGCAGTTCGGTCTGTGGGGCCTCCCTGCATACATATACATTTGGCCCAACTTTCAAAAATGTCTTGCTTTTCAATCAATACCTAAATTATTCAACAAAGTTATAGGTGAGTAGACACCAACACTGCAGTCAAACTCCGAACGAGTGGTATTCAAATTACACTGACATTAAGCAGTGATAGGCAGCACATTCTTCACCGTGCCGCCACTTTATTGAGCGCTTTAAATGATTCGCCAGGCTTTGCAAGAATACAAATAGACCAGCCATACTGCCACACTGTCAAATATTAAGATGATGCGTTTCCCTTCAAATTACCGACTGAGAAATGTGGAACAAACAAGAAATTTAATTCGATGTTGACCAATTTCTCAGATAAATGATGTGCATTGCATACCTGAGGCCATCGCTTCATTTTACAGTCAGTGGAGCAAAAGAGAGAGAAATGTAACAGCTCAGCAGTTCAATACCTATGGGGATTTAGATAGAGCTTATGTTCTAGGCAACATCTGGCTCAACAACTTCCATTAAAAAGGTAAAAATCAATGATCACAGCCTTTCAAAAACCCCTAAGAGTCTAAATTAGCACATGGGTACAGTTTGATCGCTCTGGCAAAATGTTAATCGTGGCTTAAAGTGGGTGTACCAAACTTATCTCCTAAATAATAAATGGTTTGTCACAGCATTTTTGTTAACCAATCAGACCACAAGATCAGGCCATCTTATAAAACATTTTATCTTTTGCAAACTTGTAAGAAAGAGCACGGAGTCACTTTGGATTGAGAGCTGATTGGCTGAGAGTGGTCCTTTGTCACTTTTGTATCTGAAAAAGCTGATCTAAAAATCTGCAGAGAAACTAGTGTATTAGGTCATGAAATAGTTTGTGGTTTAACATTGGTTCATTATCATAATAATAATAACGCAACACCCTATAACCTAAATTACACAGTGAGTCTGAGTGTGTGTTCAACTTTGCTACCAGTAATTTTTGTCATCTCCAAAAATGCGCACACAAATATTCAGATGAGTAAACTGTTCTGGTTTGAATTCATAAATTAAATGTTTTTGTTTCCCCCCCCCCCTCACAACATTCTATTAAATTATAGTTTTCCATGTCAACCATTCCTCATAGGACTTTCTGTTTTAGTGGCTTAGTTCATGCCATCAGTTTCTTAAAAATGACACCACAAACAGAATAATCTAATATTCCGTTTGAGTCCCAGAAGTTTCCATATGTCCCACCACTCACCTTCATCTTGTGGACAGTCCTGCCCTCCGCCAGCCCCTGTGCCCAGACCGTAATGCAATCCTTATTGTAGGTCACGCTCCAGCCATCCTCACGCAGGCACTCGGACTTAAAGTTGGCGAACGCCCGGTCGTCTGGGATGGTCACAGCTTGCCCGGACATGGCTCTCTCTCAACCGGGGAGGAGGAGCTCTTCTCGGCTGCAACTATTGATCGTGATGATGGGAGGTGGTGGCGGTACAGAAGGAGAAGGGGGGAGAGAGAAGCAGAGAACAACTCTTAACAACACGCACTGGTCCTGGCTCTGTCTTGACGTGTCTTCACTGCACGAGAAGAAGAAGAAAAAAAACTTCTAATTCAATTTCCTGCAGTTGGTTTTGTAGGCTGTGCCGTGTGTCTTGTGATGTGTACGTGTGCACGAGTGCGTGTGCGCGCGTCCAAGCAAAGGCACCGCAGTCCGCCCCACGTACGCTGGGCAGATGTACGCGTGCGCTCTGACAGGTGGAGGCAAAGATTAAAATATAGGAAAAACACACAAACTGGGGCCATTTACGCAGCGGTGGAGTTTCAAGTTTTTTGGAAGCGCGGTGCAGGAGAATCAGCCGCGCTTACAAACCATATGTTTATGACCCCCCGCGTCTTTGGACCCTCTCCTCTCTCCTCTCCACCCCCCCTTTCACCTCCTCTTCCTCCACCTCCCGTACCAGACTTTCCGGTGGCGTGTTCGCATCCGGGGGAGTCCTTCTTCTCTTTGACAGATCGTGGGCTGTTTCGTTGGTTACGCCTCATTTACGGGAGCTCCTCTTCTTCATCATCGCTGCGTCAAAGCGACTGTGGCAGGTGGTGGAGAAGATGCGGTGAGAAATAGGAGGAAGAGGGAGGGGAGAGGGAAGGGCCAGGGCAAGCAGGCTGCCCACGATCCGCTCAGCTACAAAAGAAACGCCCCCCCCCCCCCCCCCCCCCCACTGCTGCATTCACGTGACCCTCGTAAAACTTCTGTGATGTTGCACGCTGACCAAAGCTGACATGTAATTATAATATTTCAACGCACACTGATCGCATTGTGCAAATTCCCTGCACAAAAAGTCCCCCTAAATTGTGTTCTCATGAGAAATGTTCAAAGACTTAACTTAATAAATCTATAAAGAGGAAATCATGTGTTGTCCAATGCAGGCTTTGAACTACAGCCCATTGAATGAATTTTCCATGATACAACTAAATGATGACATGCGATAAGTGACTTATTTCAAATGGGATCTTTTGTCATCTTGAGAACAGATCCAACACAGCAGGGGAGCACACATTTGTATTTTAAAATCCTCTTTGAGTTTCCTCACATGCCAAGCATCTGTGCAAGAATGTGCAGTATGGGACCACATATGTCCTCTGTCACTTTTAGCCCAGAGGCTTTAAGAAATCCATGCCAGACCCCCATGCTGCTAACATGTACAGTAGTATCACTCCCTCATGCTGCTAACATGTACTGTAGTATCACATGCTGCTAACATGCACAGTAGTATCACATGCTGCTAACATGTACAGTAGTATCACATGCTGCTAACATGCACAGTAGTATCACATGCTGCTAACATGTACAGTAGTATCACATGCTAACATGTACAGTAGTATCACATGCTGCTAACATGTACAGTAGTATCACATGCTGCTAACATGTACAGTAGTATCACATGCAGCTAACATGTACAGTAGTATCACATGCTGCTAACATGTACAGTAGTATCACATGCTGCTAACATGTACAGTAGTATCACATGCTGCTAACATGTACAGTAGTATCACATGCTAACATGTACAGTAGTATCACATGCTGCTAACATGTACAGTAGTATCACATGCTGCTAACATGTACAGTAGTATCACATGCAGCTAACATGTACAGTAGTATCACATGCTGCTAACATGTACAGTAGTATCACATGCTAACATGTACAGTAGTATCACATGCTGCTAACATGTACAGTAGTATCACATGCTGCTAACATGTACAGTAGTATCACATGCAGCTAACATGTACAGTAGTATCACATGCTGCTAACATGTACAGTAGTATCACATGCTGCTAACATGTACAGTAGTATCACATGCTGCTAACATGTACAGTAGTATCACATGCTAAGTTAACATGTACAGTAGTATCACATGCTGCTAACATGTACAGTAGTATCACATGCTGCTAACATGTACAGTAGTATCACATGCTGCTAACATGTACAGTAGTATCACATGCTGCTAACATGTACAGTAGTATCACATGCTGCTAACATGTACAGTAGTATCACATGCTGCTAACATGTACAGTAGTATCACATGCTGCTAACATGTACAGTAGTATCACATGCTGCTAACATGTACAGTAGTATCACATGCTGCTAACATGTACAGTAGTATCACATGCTGCTAACATGTACAGTAGTATCACATGCTGCTAACATGCACAGTAGTATCACATGCTAACATGTACTGTAGTATCACATGCTGCTAACATGTACAGTACCACCTGCTGCTAACATGTACAGTAGTATCACATGCTGCCAACATGTACAGTAATATCACATGCTGCTAACATGTACAGTAGTATCACATGCTGCTAACATGCACAGTAGTATCACATGCTGCTAACATGTACAGTAGTATCACATGCTGCTAACATGTACAGTAGTATCACATGCTGCTAACATGTACAGTAGTATCACATGCTAACATGTACAGTAGTATCACATGCTGCTAACATGTACAGTAGTATCACATGCTAACATGTACAGTAGTATCACATGCTGCTAACATGTACAGTAGTATCACATGCTAACATGTACAGTAGTATCACATGCTGCTAACATGTACAGTAGTATCACATGCTGCTAACATGTACAGTAGTATCACATGCTGCTAACATGTACAGTAGTATCACATGCTGCCAACATGTACTGTAGTATCACATGCTGCTAACATGTACAGTAGTATCACATGCTGCTAACATGTACAGTAGTATCACATGCTAACATGTACAGTAGTATCACATGCTGCTAACATGTACAGTAGTATCACATGCTGCTAACATGTACAGTAGTATCACATGCTGCTAACATGTACAGTAGTATCACATGCTGCTAACATGTACAGTAGTATCACATGCTGCTAACATGTACAGTAGTATCACATGCTGCTAACATGTACAGTAGTATCACATGCTGCTAACATGTACAGTAGTATCACATGCTGCTAACATGTACAGTAGTATCACATGCTGCTAACATGTACTGTAGTATCACATGCTGCTAACATGTACAGTAGTATCACATGCAGCTAACATGTACAGTAGTATCACATGCTGCTAACATGTACAGTAGTATCACATGCTGCTAACATGCACAGTAGTATCACATGCTGCTAACATGTACAGTAGTATCACATGCTGCCAACATGTACTGTAGTATCACATGCTGCTAACATGTACAGTAGTATCACATGCTAACATGTACAGTAGTATCACATGCTGCTAACATGTACAGTAGTATCACATGCTGCTAACATGTACAGTAGTATCACATGCTGCTAACATGTACAGTAGTATCACATGCTGCTAACATGTACAGTAGTATCACATGCTGCTAACATGTACAGTAGTATCACATGCTGCTAACATGTACAGTAGTATCACATGCAGCTAACATGTACAGTAGTATCACATGCTGCTAACATGTACAGTAGTATCACATGCTGCTAGCATGTACAGTAGTATCACATGCTGCTAACATGTACAGTAGTATCACATGCTGCTAGCATGTACAGTAGTATCACATGCTGCTAACATGCACAGTAGTATCACATGCTGCTAACATGTACAGTATCACATGCTGCTAACATGTACAGTAGTATCACATGCTGCTAACATGTACAGTATCACATGCTGCTAACATGTACAGTAGTATCACATGCAGCTAACATGTACAGTAGTATCACATGCTGCTAACATGTACAGTATCACATGCTGCTAACATGTACAGTAGTATCACATGCTGCTAACATGTACAGTAGTATCACATGCTGCTAACATGTACAGTATCACATGCTGCTAACATGTACAGTATCACATGCTGCTAACATGTACAGTAGCATCACATGCAGCTAACATGTACAGTAGTATCACATGCTGCTAACATGTACAGTATCACATGCTGCTAACATGTACAGTAGTATCACATGCTGCTAACATGTACAGTAGTATCACCTGCTGCTAACATGTACAGTAGTATCACATGCTGCTAACATGTACAGTAGTATCACATGCTGCTAACATGTACAGTAGTATCACATGCTGCTAACATGTACAGTATCACATGCTGCTAACATGTACAGTAGCATCACATGCAGCTAACATGTACAGTAGTATCACATGCTGCTAACATGTACAGTATCACATGCTGCTAACATGTACTGTAGTATCACATGCTGCTAACATGTACAGTAGTATCACATGCTGCTAACATGTACAGTATCACATGCTGCTAACATGTACTGTAGTATCACATGCTGCTAACATGTACAGTAGTATCACATGCTGCTAACATGTACAGTAGTATCACATGCTGCTAACATGTACAGTAGTATCACATGCTGCTAACATGTACAGTAGTATCACATGCTGCTAACATGTACAGTAGTATCACATGCTGCTAACATGTACAGTAGTATCACATGCTGCTAACATGTACAGTAGTATCACATGCTGCTAACATGTACAGTAGTATCACATGCTGCTAACATGTACAGTAGTATCACATGCTGCTAACATGTACAGTAGTATCACATGCTGCTAACATGTACAGTAGTATCACATGCTGCTAACATGTACAGTAGTATCACATGCTGCTAACATGTACAGTAGTATCACATGCTGCTAACATGTACAGTAGTATCACATGCTGCTAACATGTACAGTAGTATCACATGCTGCTAACATGTACAGTAGCATCACATGCTGCTAACATGTACAGTAGTATCACATGCTGCTAACATGTACAGTAGTATCACATGCTGCTAACATGTACAGTAGTATCACATGCTGCTAACATGTACAGTAGCATCACATGCTGCTAACATGTACAGTAGTATCACATGCTGCTAACATGTACAGTAGTATCACATGCTGCTAACATGTACAGTAGTATCCGTCACTCTAAATATTTAAACCCTCAGAGCTTATTACTTCAATAATTTAGCACAATACCAGATTCATCCTGTGACCTGTAAACATACGAGGGTATGTTTCTTTGCACTAGTATACAGGTTTATACTTTCTATGTTAAAAGCTAAAGATAGATTTTTGTAAGTTGTGCTATTCTTAATATTCTCTTATCTTGTGTTGTGTGCTCCTCATTCATACTGTTTTGTAACTTGCGATGCAACACTGAAATTTCCCCACTGTGGGACGAATAAAGGATCTCTTAATCTTAAAGGGCACTGACAGATATAATTCATTATATTTTTTCTCCTCATTGTCGTTATTTACTTAGGACTGTCCCCATGACACTTTAGTCATGTCGCACATTAAATAAAACAACTTTCCGAAGTGCTGCATTGAGACGAACGAAACTAATTAAGTATAGAGAAAATAGTATAATAAACAAAACAGTAAGATGTATACAAAATAATTAACACAAATAAAGGTAAAATACAGATTATATGCAGTACAGATCAAAAGTTTGGACAAACCTCATTCAAAGAGTGTTTTTTCATGACACACTGAAGGCATCAAAACTATGAATTAACTTATGTGGAATTATGTACGTACTAAAAAAAAAAGTATGAAACAACTGAAAGGTGCTTCTTGGTTCTTTAAAGCAGCACCTTTTGCTCTGATTACTGCTTCACACACTCTTGGCATTCTCTTGATGAGCTTCAAGAGGTAGTGACCTGAAATGGTCTTCGACAGTCTTGAAGGAGTTCCCATGATGCTTGGCACATGTTGGCCCTTTTGCCTTCACTCTGGGTTCAGGTCCGGTGACTGTGGAGGTCATCTGGCCCAGCACCCACCACTCTCCTTATTGGTCAAAGAGCCCTTACACAGCCTGGGTGTGGATCTACAGCCAATAGTCATGAAAAGAAAGGACACTCATTGAATGAGAAAGTGTGTCCAAACTTTTGGTCTGTACTGTAGGCATACATGAAAGAGGACCACACAACCCATGTGGTGTTGTAGAATAAAAGTGGGTCTTGTTGGAAGCTGTTTTCTACTCTTCACACAGACATCTTCGTTTGTTTTTCAGAAAAAATCAGACCGCAACATCTTCTTTCTATCAGAAAACATGTTATCTTTTGCGTGCTTGTAAGAAAGAGCTCTGTGAGTCACATTTTGAGAGCTGATTAGTCCTTTTTTCACTTTTCTGTCGCAAAAGGCTACTCTTAAGTCTATGACAAGACAAAAAATAAATACATGTGAAAAGTAATTATTTAACCAAAGGATTTTTTTTGAATGAAACATGTTAAATTTTTGGTTTGAAAATTAGGTATCTCAGCTTTAAGAGTATTTTAATGTGATACAATAATAATCATTCTCCATTTGCTTAGTCTTTGGGGAAACAAAACTGCTGGTGTAAATAAGTAGTCAAAGAGCTGATAGCTGGAGGTGAATTTGCAGTTTATTCAGTGATAAACAAGCAACACGCACTCCTCAGCAGCAGGAGATAAATATCTTGGTGTCTAACAGGTCTTCTCACCAAGATGTGTACATGTGATTTAAGATTAGATATATTTTAAATGTTTTACTATTTTTATGTCTTCTATGTCTTATATCTAGTATGTCTAGCCTATTGTTTACATTATATGCGAAGCTATATATATAAAAATAAAAAAATTGTCCACTCACCTTTGGCCCTCCGTGGGCGGTTATCCCTCTCTAAGCTTGGGTCCTCTACCAGAGGCCTGGGAGCTTGAGGGTTCTGCGCAGTATCTTTGCTGTAGCACTGCACATTTCTGGACCGAGATGTCCGAGGTATATATATATATATATATATTGTATATACCAAACATAATCTGTATTTTGCAAAACCAATGTCTACACTGTCATGATGCTCATTGTGCTCACACTCATACTAGTGGAACTTGATATTCTAATGTAATTGTAACAAATACTGACATTTCCCCACAAATAAAGGATCTCTTAATCTTATTCTTAAATAGCAGTCACACTTGAATATTCACTCTACAAGAGAATACCTAAAATAGAAAAAAAAAAAAGTATTTTTTTATGTTTCATGAGCCTGACAGTTTGAAAGAGAACACGAGAAAGGGAAATAATACTCTTTAGGCGTTTCTCGTAAACATGTTGTTGGTAATACATAGAGGTAGCTCATTCATTAAAAAAGAGGAGGATAATCTATGCCTGCAAATACACCCATACATCTGCTACGCCTGTCTCACAGTTTTTGAGTTTGAGATTACAATATAGCCTCGTTGGCCATATAAGTCCTCAGTGACATTCCGGCTAAAAGCAAGTTGATTCATGGTCCCCCGTGATTGATGCACAGTGCAAAACGTCCACAGGTAGAAATAAATTACCCTCACAGCCTTCTTCCAGAATATAACAGAAGGCACAGCGCTACAGGATTTTATGGCTCTCTTGCGCCATCTGATGGAGGTTGTTGCCTTATCAAAGGAGGTATTATTATTATGGTATTATTGCAAAAAATTAAATAATAAAATTGCATTTGAACATAATGTAAAAATGTAAAGGTTTCTGGTTAGGGCAGCAATGTTATAAGCCGAACCATGAAGTCCAGATATGGATGGATAGATTATCAATGCATGTATTACTTTATTTAAATATTATCGAATGGGCAAAGGTTGTATAAAAATACTGTGTTTTTACTAATCTGATTTTGAATACAGCTCTGATCACAAATTCTGTTTGTGATTTTTTCTTTTATAATACTAGTTGCATCATTTGCTCTTCCCCTTTCTCTACATGCCATAGAAAACCACGTTTCCCAGGATGCATTGCGGCCCTTCTGGTGACATCCATAGAAGCGGTTGTTTTCTGTCCTTTGGTTGCACACAGACTGCTGTATCTGGATGCTCTGAGCTAACAGCCAGGCTTCAGTGGGACAGCAGCTGCTCGCTTCTTTCAGCCACCGTGACCCCTAAACCCGTGGGCTCCTCCAGCTCCGGATCGGTGAGTTTATGGCCATGTTATCCTCGGTACCAACCAGGCTGATCGCCCGAAGGTCGCGCAGTCTCTCCCCGTGCAGCCGTGTGCTTCAGACCAGCGCACACGGAGCCTCATGTCAGGACTCCCGGGGCAGTCCTGTCCACACCAACCGGAACCCAGTGGTGTCCACGTCCCGCGTGTCCCGCAGGGGGATCCTTTCGGAGGACAGCTCGGGCAACGTTAACCCCTCCATGCAGTATCACCATCTGGCCCCCAGGTGGCTCTCTCAGCTGCAGAACCGCCGCAGTTCATGGGCGGCCCTGGCCAGCAGAGGGCGCAACAACAACCAGTACTGGGAGGAGAGCGGTCATGGTCGAGGAGAGGGCCATGGCTCAGAGGGCCCCGGGGTCAGGGCCAGGGGTCTGGCCTCTACTGGGCTGCTGTCTGCTGCGGCTGTAGCCTTCTGCCTCAAGAAAGACTCTGATAATAAAGGTAATGTTAGCTACATCTTAAACATCACCTTCTGTCTGCTTCACTTCACACTGCTTTGCTTGTAGGTGATGCTCTGCTGGAAGCGGCACGGACCAATAACAGTGAAGATGTTGAGAGGTATGATGGCATTAACACTACATTTACAGATTTAACACTACATTAATTAAAGGATATAATTATCAAGTCTCCGCTGTGTGTCAAAGTGATTAGCTCCTCTTAACATTGGAATACCCTGAAATATGTATTATACTTGAACAGATAGAATCTGTATGGAATTACCTCAAATCCAGGGGTCAGATTACTTGATTATCATGAGGTATCTTCCCTTCTTCTGCCAAGAGAAATGGTCAAGGGCTGTGAAATTGATGACACATCCCATACATTTAAGACAAACAGTAATATTATACATGAATATAAGAAAATAATATTGCATGCGTGCAACACGGAGACAACATAGTGACATTTGTGGATCTTAAAGCTGCAACATCTCACCTTTTTAGTTGTTATATATACATTTAATTTGTCACAACAGAAAGATTTTTGGTTTAATAATGTTTTGTGAACAAATCAGACCACACCATGCTGTCTTCATCTTATTGTAAAACAAGAGTGAGGGCTGGCACTCTCTTTTTCTCACAAAAATTGTATCTAAAGATGTGACAGAGAATTATATTAATTTTATATTATTGTCTATTATCTTAATTAATAATTGACTCCTTCTTTGCTGTAATGTAATGAGACTGACATTTCCCCACTGAGGGATGAATAAAGGAATATCTTATCTTATACTTTTTAAAGTTATATACGCCACTTTTAATGCACCATCACGGTACAATGCAATCTTGCAGTCCTAATATATAAAAATAGTACACAAATAAATGTATTCATTATTTTGTCAAGAGCGACTGAAGGTAGTATGAAAGCTGCAGGTTGCCTACCCCTGTTCAAGTCTGTTCACTGTACACATGGGCATGGACGTCTACTTGGGTTTTTTCTTTCTTTCATTTGTTGAAAATGAAAGACTTTTCTTGCAAAAAATGCTTCCTTGTTTACAATTCATACGCTGATAAAATTCCAACACGTTCCTGCTGTGCTGCTTCAAGCCACTGAGTGGAGCCCAAGACTGGTTTTTACTGTCACCATTCTATGTTCCATATCCATTTGATAAACATCTCCAAAACACAGCATCAGGTTCATAATGCATTTATGTCACTATTTGCATAGTGTATACTCGATCCTTTCAGCTCAATTAATTTTTAATGATGTGAATCCTGATTTATAACATCCATTAAGTATTGCATTTAATTAAGCATTAATGCTGCTAATCTCACTCGCACAGAAGATGCACACAGTGTCTCCAACTGCCCACACTTAGGTTATAGTAAACTTCCTTCTTAGATTACCTTCTTTGCAGCAGATGGTGTCTGTAGGTGAGACTGAGACAGACTGCAGGTCACTGATGTGTTAAGTGCTTTGGTTTAGTTTGTGCTTAAAAGAGAGTGCCGCCTGTCTTCTTGAGAGACTGCCAAATGTACAAACTGCTTTATTTCTTCACAGCAACCTCTTCATCAACTTTGCTATCTTCAACATTATGAATGAGGACAGAAACGTGTCATTTCACTCACGGGTACTGGCCTCCTGCTGGTGCCCAGAGTCATGACTAAACATGGGGAGGCAGCGTTTCAGATTTATGTAGCTTAATTCTGTAAGTCTTCTTGGAAATGTGAGACAGATTTCTTCTCAGACAATGTTCAAATCCAAATTAAATGGTTTTCATTTTACATTTTAACTTGCCTTATGTGTGATCTATAGAAATTAACTTTCCTAGCTTTACATGTATTTTTCACATTTTGAGTTAAAGTATTTTATTTTGTGTATCTTGTGAAAATGTGATGAAAGTATAGAAGTGCACACATTCACACAGAGGCCAGTGGAACACTCTGGAGTGAAGTGCAGATGTGACAGGGTCTGTGTTGTCTAAACACTCGCTCAGTGTTAAGACACCCCGATCACTTACAACATTTAGAAGCATGTCCTGAGGCGCAGAGCTCGCACCTGCTCAGCGCATGCAGCTCTGCAGATAAGGCCAGAGCTGTCCCACTGTGTTTATGGTCCAGGGCCAGACTGACTCCACTTTGATATAGCAGCTACGGCTGGAGCAGTGTTTCATGTTCACTGTTAAAACAAACCCACAAAGACCTCCTAACCAACAACATCATGTCTTTGTCTTTGTCCTCAGACTTTTAAAGGAGGGAGTGGACCCGAACCATCGCCACCGTCTTGGCTGGACTCCTCTCATGGTGGCGGCCATGAACCGGCAGCACAGGTGTGTCCATGATGAGATACGACCCATTCAACTTAGGGCCATTACAAGTAAAAATGTTCCTTTTAGCTCGTTACAGTATGCTGTTTCAGGCCTACTTACAGGCTGACAGACGGCTGGTGCACGTCCCCCATCTCAGTGACCACCAAATTAAATTAGCCTGCTGGCCCCCAGAACACAAAACGCCAGAGACAGGGTTTGAGGTTAAAGCTCGGCCAAATCCAATTTGCAGGACTTTTTGGGGGAGAATGAATTCTCTCGTCAGTCTTTGCTTTTTCTATATGGCATTTTACAAATGGAAGAAGCCTATTGTGACATTTACATTTGTAATTGGCTTTAATTTTGAAAAAAGCTTAACTAAAGCAGATACTGGTTTTTGAACTTGCATACTAAATTCAGGCAATCAACTATTTTTTAGTTAAATACAAAGTTTAATTATTTTAAAATTGAATGAAACAGTGTTTTTATATTTTCACAGTGTATTTGTATAACCAGTTATACAGTTATTCCAGTAATATACTGCAGATCCTTGGCTCAAATGAGTGCATGGCGCTCTTATAGAAAGCAGCGTCACTTTGGATGTCAGTCCTTTTCCACTGATGATGTAGTTTGTATTTGGCAGTGATGGTATGTGTGTCACCAAAGCGTCCTGTGTGTGTATTATGAGTGCTATAACTCAGGCGGCCATGACACCCCACTGTGTTTAATCCTGTCTGCAGCCCCCAGTGAGCCGTCAGTGCCACAGGGAAGACACAGCATCAGCACACTGGCATCACTCACATCCCTCTGTCTCATCCACACAAACCAGAGGAGTGTACACCAAATATCCAAGTCATCACTCACGCACGCACACTTCCACTGCACCACATATGGAGAGTGAATTAGTAGGAGGCTGCCTGAATGCTGTGACACGTGCATGGGCATAGGGCAGCGCTGCGGTCTCGTCCTGGCTCGATGCTGCAGTGATGCTGCTGAGTAAAGGGGTGTGCAGTAGAAGGAGGGCTGAGGAATGGGGGGCGTGTGTTTGTTTAGCTTTGATGCAGGGCTCAATCATGGATCAGGGCGGTGCAGGGCCCGGCCTTATGTTTGCACTCTTTAACACACAATACCTATCTCCAACTCTCTTTTTCTGCTTCATGCCTCCCGCACAGCATTCACGTGTACAAAGAGCACTCAGCCGAGTGTAACACTGTTGACCGTTCCGACCTGTCGGCGGACTAACTTGATGGGTGGGAGAGAATGAATGAGGAAAAGAAACGTGAGGCAGAGAAGAGAGGTTTCATCAGAGAAAGGCAACATGTGAACGAGAGAGAGTCGTAGAGTGGGATTATGAGCTCGCACTCAGAAAATCCCAATGAAAAGCAGCAAATCAACGAATCTCTCTGGAGGCCTCTTCTTATTGGGATCACTATTAATCCGGGACATTTAAGAACTTTTATGGACATTTATTAACATTTATGAACATTGGTCATCCCCCTCCCTATGGACCAGTGGCTCCTATGTCTTCGTTATTGCTTTTCCTATGTTGAAATGTTTGATTCTCTGATCCGAGTCCTCTGACGTGACAGCTGTAGTGATTTAGGACTAAACAATTATACATTGAATTTAATTGAATTATTCATCTGAGCAAATAGCCACAGAATGTAATAAAAGTTAAACAAATCCAACACAGGTTTTTATAGTTTTGACGTTGTCCAGCTGACCTCAGGTGAGGTTAGGGCCAGGGTCAAGTGAGGTCCACGTCTGGGCCAGGTGGTCAGAGACATGGATGGTCAGTTAAGCTCAGGTGTCCTGATATCGCAGCATCGGATGTGTCTGCTTCCTGTTGCCCCTCGGGCTGATGGGGGACGCACACCACAAACAACAACAATAGCTCTCTCAGCCCGTATACAACTTGCATCATTATTTAGTTATCTTTGTCTAGTGAAGTTGTCAAAGTTCTTGCTTGAAAGTTGTCAGTTTGAACACAGAAAGCGTAGACATTTTTGTGGCGTTCAACCCAACTGACCTTTGCATTCCTCTGTTCAACCTCAAATGAGTTTGTAGCGCTTTTTCTAATTGGCCAAATAAAGTTAGTCACTTGATAAAAAGTTGATTAGTGAAACACACACTGTTTTCACAAGCTCATTAGTTTTAGCAACTCTTTCTAATTAAATCTACTTTCATCTTTGTACTTCCAGTCTTTCATGGCCACCACTCCTCCCTCTGCGTTTCTCTCCTTTATGTGTCCGTGTTTACCTTTCTGATGCCATTAACCCCTTTCACAGCATCTTGTCTCTTCACACAGCCGTGCCCAGCCTCGTGTGACCGTTCGCCGTGTGTGTGTCGCTAAACTGTGGCAGAGGATGCTCGGAGCTGTTTGTAGAAGTGCTTGGAAGGGTTAGAGAAGAGGCCCTTGTGGGTCATGGCCCCCCTGCTGCCCCCAACCTCTGCGATACAGTAACAAAAGGGGACCCCCCGATAGCCTTTTTTAGTCCATTTAGCAAGGTCACACACAAAGACCTGGTCAGGCTGTTCTCACAGCTGCACACATGTTCCTAAAGTCCAGACAAATTACACCAAATGACGGATGTGTTGAACTAATGAGACAAAATGTTCCTTTTAAACTAGAAAGAAAATTGCAATGACAGAGAACAGAATTATGGAACATAGGTCATAGTCGACTAAAATGCAACAAAAAATCGGCTAAAAGATTGTTAAGTCGCTTAAAAAGGGGAGTGACAAAAGCTCTCAAAAGTATCTGACCAAACCTGTACTCGCACAATAACACAATTCTATTAAAGATACAGTCAGTGTTTTTTTCCAGACATTTTTTTTTAAATATTGTCGGAAAATGTCCCTAAACACTAAAAGTACTCAAGTTATCATGTGTTTTCAAATAGTAATGGAATTGACCAGATGCCTATAGTCCGGGCCCCAAACATTATAAAAAAATATTTTGGAGCGCACTGATAAAAATAAACCAATGGGATGCGTTTATATATTAACGGACAGAGTCACGCCTATCTCCGCCGTTCTAACTAATGGGCCAAAAATGTGCTCTACTGGAGCTATCCAAAATGGCCGCGAGTGGTCCCGCCCACAAGAAAATTGTGAAAAAACACATCTGCGCATGCGTCAGTCGGCGCAGCTCCATTCATTTGAACGAGAGACTTCAAAAGTTCACAGCGACTAAACTAGACTGGTCCAAAACACCCCTCAGCATTGACACACATGTGGAACGGAGCTTTGGACCAAGAGCCAACTTTTGGTCCATCCTGTAAAGACGTTTTTGAGAGGTCACCTAATGCTATATGTTAGCATTGGCTAATTCTTCTTCTGGGTCCACCCCCACAGGCCCGGGGTGGTATTGCAGCATGTCAGCGCACGTCATTTTGGCTACTTTTGAGCCGGGACCCGCCCACACTGGTTTACCCCCTTCACCCTCTTCCTGCTTCTCACGAGTGCACCGGAGTTATCGGATTTTCAGAAGCCTAAAACGAATGAACAGAAAATGCCAATTTCACGATTGCCGCCCACTCTCCCTGTTGTGACAAAGAAAATGCTGGATGTTTGGTTTGGTGGCGAGGGGAGGAGGGAGTGGTTTCAAGTTGGTGCTACGGCTAAGCTAACAAAATCGCTTACTGCACATTTAAGTCGTGTGAATGGAGAGATTATTCTGTCTTGAAATTTCACAGTGAATATCCAAATCTTGAGCTATTTTTTCTTCATGGCTTCTGATGTGTGCCTTTTTCAGATAGAAATCCTTGTAATTTAGATAAAATAATTGGTCAACTAAAACCATTGACCGTTTAAATGATGGAATATCATTATTTTAATTAGGACTGTAACAAGTTAATTGATTAATCACAACTAATTAATTATTTAGATAGTTGTCAACTTATTTAGTAATCGATTAATCGTTTTTGAACCTTCCATTGACTGAAACGTGCTTAGAAGAGGCTTTATGACCACAATGACCTTCACAAAGTATTTTTAACCAAACAAAGCAATGTATAACCGGTCCTCTTTATGAAGCTGTTCTCTAGAAGCTTGATTTTGGTCAAATGTTTTAAAAAGTTATGTTTTTGGGACCTAAACCACTAATGGATTAATCAAAGTAATAATTGGCTAACTTAACAATTATCAACATTTGCTTGATAACCATTACTTGTACGTTACCATACAGTATCTTCTGTAACTCTTAAAGTCAAGTGTAAGACCGTTTTAGAATTCTAGTCTGACAACATTTTAATAAAGTACACACACAGGTCCAGGGCAGAAATAAAAGGGAAAACATGAAAATTCCGACCAAAAACACAATAAACATGTTTTTTCTTTTTGAGAAAGAACCGGCGGTGTCCCAATGTCAAATCTTAGTTCTCGTTTGCGTTTCAAACTTGAGCTGTAGACCGAGAGACCGTACCTGGAATGTCGGCCGGGTCACAGTCGCTGGTGTTGCCGAGGTTCTGTGTGTTTGCTCTAAAAGGCGGTACGCTCCAATGACACACGGAGGACCCCCCCGTCAGACGCCGGAAACAAGGCCCGGTTCACAGGCCTCTCACTGCTCATATATGTACACGCATGTAAGCAGGACAAGAGCACAAGGGCAGGCCTCCTCAACTGTGACTGTCATTGGCTTTCAGGAAATCATTTAGCATAGCAATGGTTCAGTTTTTGTCAAGTTGTGTCGTGACGTGAAGGTTAAAGAAACATCTGCTAGACCTATGTTGAACTGCAGAATAATTAAAGCTGGGGTACCTAACTTTCAAACCGCTACAAATGTTACCAGCTCAAAACGGGTTGGTTCTGTCGCTATGGTTTTTGTATGTTTGGCCTCTGTCGCGTATTTAGATCAGCTTTTTCAGACTAAAAAGTGAAAAAGAGAGGCATTATTCTTCCTCAGCCAATCAGCTCTCAGCCCATAGCATCAAATAGTGACTCGCAGGGCTCTTACTTACCTGTATGCGAAGGATAACATGTTTTCCAATGAAGTAAATGGATGATTTTGTGATCTGATTTGTCACAAAAAAATTCAAGACCATTTGTTAGAACAGACAAGAAGTATTAATTATGAAACGCAAAGGTTGGATACTCCAGCTTTTAATGTAACTGCGAAAGGAGCAGTTTGAGGATAGAGTTTGGAGACTGCCGCAAACAAGTCTGGATTTCTCAATTTGATACAGGCGTTCATTCCGAATTACCCGAGGAATCTAGATGGCTTGTCTCATCACGGACCTAAACGGTGAAAAGTGTTAACCTGGATGTGAATCAGTCCTGTTGTGTTGCACTGAGACCTTAAGTTTTTATGCTTAAATGTACTTTGAGTATTATAGGTTTTGGTATTTTTGACGAGAATAGATTTGCTTATGTGACCTACAATGTTTCACTTGAAGATAATTCTGACTAGCGTTCAAATGATTTTGGGAAATGTATTGTATTATTAATTTTTGTAATACATATTTATCAGATATGTTGCATTGCACATTGGTAGTGATATTTTTTTTTTTGCAACAGTATCCTTATATTTTCACTGCCTAGCTTCTTATTGAAAGACAATCAGTGGTAAACAGTAAAAGTAGAGAATAGACAAACATGAGTGTTTTCACATAAAGATGCAGTTGCGATCCTTTTGTGGAGGATGAATGTTAAAATAGTCTTCACAATATCAGGGCCTCTAATGAGAAACATGTATTGGATGAATGCAATACATATATATTTATCACACGCACAAACACACTCTCATCTTTCTGCTGATGTGTTTTTCAGCGTGGTGAAAGTCCTGCTCGAGGCGGGTGCCGACCCAAATGCCGGAGACCACTTTAACAACGTCTACGACACCTCCCGGGAGAAAGGCATCCACTCATTGGAAGGTATAAAAAACACTTTCCGAATGCAATCATGTGTGCGCGATATTGGTGTATTTTTCAGCGACTGTAAAACCAGATATTGTGAGCTATTATCTTTTGCATAAAATGTGCATATGTACAAGCTTCATTTCCCCCCCCCCCTTTTGCATTATTTATTTTCTATGTAGCGCATATTTTATTTGTTTTCTTACGAGCCGCAGACCCAAATGGCAGGACGCACGCTCGCTGCACCCCTCCCTTTGCCTTCTCGGTCTGCGCCAGGTTTGGGCAGACATATTTATATGGGATATGTATATTGCAGACATTTATATGGCTGTCAGGTTTGGGTCCACGTGGGGCCGGCCTAGCGTGGGGAAGCGTTTTCCAGACACGCGCTGATGGATGGGCTGTGGGGGCCTTTGCGACGCTTTATTGGGTTAGCTATGATTATCCCGGGCTATCTCTCCCTCCCTCATACGCACTCACACTGCAGAAAGACTGTCACGAAGATGAGGGAGGAGAGTAGGATGGATGGACGAGGGAAAAGACGGATGACGAAAGGGGAGAAGAACACAGGGAGAAGCGGATGGAGATAGCGCCAGAAAGTAAAGTAGCCACCAGCGGAAAAATGAGAGGAGCTGCAGATCGAAGGGTGCCATTGCCTGGAAAGAGATCGGCTCGGGTGATGGGAGCCAAGGAAGGAAGGAAGGAAGTTCAGAATTGGAGGAGACAAAGTTAGTGGCGAGGGAGGAAGTGGGTACAAGTGATGAAAGAAACTGATGAATTCTGAGCAGTTGAGGAAGGAGGCAGATGGAAGATAGACATGATGGAGTGCTCATGAAACAGTACATGGGGGCGAATTATAGGGCGTAAAACCACTCCAAAACCAACTTGGGCTAGCTCACACAGTCAAATCAGACATTTAACATGAAATAAATCCTTGCTTGTTAGGCCTTTGGTGCTGCTGCTCGTCTTACAGTGTTGTGTTTCTTATGTCCACAGTTTTGGTTTCCAGGGAGGATGAGTTCAGCAGCAGACTCAGCAGCAGGGCAGGGTTCCGTGGTTCCACAGCGCTGCACTATGCTACACTGGCTGATGACCCCGGCTCCGTGCAGATGCTGTTGGAGGCTGGTATGTAGCTGCTTCACAACACGTTAAAAGTCACAAATTATGACACTTTAGGAGGGTTACAATCGGTTTGAATTATACATAAACATTTTGGTGTGCTGCATATTGTCATGAAGATTAAGAGATCCTTTATTTCTTCCATAGTGGGGAAATTGGGTTTCATAAAAAGTTGCAGACAGTAACTGAGTAAATGAGGAGCAAATAGAACCCAATTAATTAATAATGACTCTAAATAATGATACTAAAATAAAATAAAATAAAATCTCTAACTTTAGCATAAAACACAGTGTACAATCTCTATCTTTAGCATAATAAGGAACAAAGTCTAAAGTCTCCAACTTGAGCGTGATGAAGAAGCAAAGTTAAAATACTGTATATTCTGGTCCAAGTAATATATAGTTGTATGTCCCATTCCCTCATGCTGCTAGCATGTACAGATGTATACAAAGTGACTAAACAAGATGCCACAAGCATAGATAAGGCAAGGTAAGTTTATTTGTCTGGCTGATTTAAAGTCTGTTCTCTGGCTACTTCCTGTTTCTAGTCAGGCCTTGAGCTGCAGAATTTTGAATCCTTTGGAAATTCCAGTGAGCAGACTGATACATAGTTCTAATTACCCATTTTTAAGACAGAAAAAAAAATTACTAGACAATTTCTCCTTAAATCAAGCATTTACAAACATTTATTTGCGGTGTATGAGGCTTCCGATACAATTTTTTTTCTATTTTAATTCAGATGTTGATGTTTGCCACCTACAAACCTCCCCAGGCTGTAGTTCTTATAGTCAATGTCACACACAACCCATCCATCTATTTTCCTCCGAATTATCAGTTGGAGGCAGCAGTCGGAACATAAGTAGCCCAGACTTCCCTCGGGCTCTTGTCAAAAAAAAAAAATCTAATGATCTCCTTCTCATCTTTTGTAGGTGGCAAACATCAACATCTGAATTAAAATAGAAAAGACAGGGACAGTCCCACAAACACACACAATCACACATTCTATTTTACCAAACTGTTCTGACTCATGCACACGATACACTTGCAGAAAGAAGCCATCATTCGGCCTCGTACACCTGACAGGACTTCTTAAAGGACCATCGCAGAAGCACATCCTCTCCCCAGTGATTTGGAGTATTACAAAGCTCATTTGAAATTGATCACTGGTTCATACCCCCCGTTTTGCCCTCGCATTAGAGCCGCACCTGTCGTTGACTCAGCTCCACCAGCCCACACAGCCTGGGGCACCGTATCCCCCCACGTTTCAAGCCAGCTCCTCTTAAACAAGCTCTGTCTAGTTGAACTCTGGCCCCCACTCGGAACATGCCCCTGGGGGTATCCTCTCAAGCACAATGAGAGTGTTATTATGGTACTATAGAAGGCATTACATATAATATTCATAAATGCATGCTTTAGCTACGGTTTTTCAAATATTACAGTGCCACCAGATGCATTTCGAGCGATCCAGGTTGCATAATGGTGTGAAAGCTCAGTGAAATTAAATACAATGCACAATGTTAGTCTCGCACACGTACTTTTATTAATGTCTTGTTTATGTTTATGATGGATGAGACGTTTCAAAGCTCTGCCCATCTCTTGTATCACCCTTGCATTTGTAAGCACTCTCTACGCTAACAAATCACCCCATATAACTCAATCAATCGTTCTTCAGGCACATTTTTGAATTAAAAAGGTAAGAAATTTCACAAAGCAGGGACATTTGTTTCAGGCAAATCACATTAAAGGCAGTGCAGGTTGTGGCTTGCCCGGCTGGGTCTTGGCTGGATTGGCGCCACTTTCACATTCAATAACAATCATGACGTCACCACACTTTTCCTAACGCCGCGTCCAAGCGAGCAACACGATTTGTACATATGCGAACATTAATCTCCTCGGGCCTTCTGCGGATGTTGGTGCGTGTTTTGTGTTGTTAGACAGTCGAGCATCAGTGACCTCATCTGTTAGTGCCATGGTGTCGTGTCGGCGACGTGGTCAAAAATTGAGGTCTTTTGGATTTTATGAATAGTGCTTATTTTTTATTTTATTTTTAGAAATGTGAATTTATATTAAGATTGGGAGCTGGTTCCATGACAATATACTTTTTGGGGAAAACCAAATTGTGGTTTTGCTAGTTTTCCATCATTTCTAATGGTTTGGCTTTGATATTCTCTCAGTAATTAAGAATTATACACAAGTGTCTCTTCTTTGTCTCCGATTGTGTCAAAATCGAAAAACAAAGCGTTGTCTAGATGTACCTAAACAATTTCAATTTCAATTAGATTGATATAGTGCACACTTAAAATACATTTTATATACATTTTTATTTTTTTATTGCACAAAGTCTCAAAGGTTGTCACCGATCCTCCAATTCCGACTAGTCCTCAGGTCCAGGGCGGGAACTCCAGGGTTTTGAGTCCCATCACTGTCTCCATGAAACAGAGGCACAAATGGTGAATAGCAATGCCAAAGTCAGATGCCAGACATTGTAGGAAATGTATCCTTGTGGCTATGTGTGTCTGGTTGAACATGTTACAATCGTGAAGAATGTCTGGTGCAAGGAAAAGGAAATTGGTCAGCCACCAATTGTGCGAGGCCTCCCACTTAAAACGATGAGAGATGGCTGTAATTTTCATCAAGGGTAACCTCAACTATGAGAGACAAAAGAGGAAACAAATACTGTACAGAAAATCACATTTTTAAGAATGTATTCTTTGTAAGTTATGGTGGAAGATAAGTTTTCCAAGTAAAGTCAACAATAATACATACTAGCAACAATGTAAAAAAGCTTGTGAAGACTTACAGAAAAGGTTTGAGCTCTGTCATTGCAAAAAAAAGGGTATGTGGTTTTCTCATTTTGTCAAAGTTGAGGGATACTTTTGATGAAAGTTACAGCCTTTTTAGGGGAAGGATTTGCACACAAATTGATGGCTGACTAAATACTCTCTTTGCCCCTCTGTATAGTGTATTAAAAACAGTTGTGGATGATGGCTGCACCTCTAATGTATGTAAGCGAATGAGAAGCATTAGATCTTATTTCCCTTGTGTTTCAAAGTGTCCACGTTAAGACCGGTGGCCACGGGTCGGCACTTTTGCCCTCTTCGCACCGCTTCGTCCTCACATGTCCATCCATCACAGTCTCCAGGCCCACCCTCGGGCTGCGGCCTGGCCCCACTGTCCCTCGCCTTACCTGCGCACCACTCCGTCCCTGGGCTGCGCATCAGGCTCCCTGGCCAGAGGCGCCCGGTAATGGACAGCTCTGTAGGAGGCGGCGGGCCAGGGGAGACACAGATGCTGACAATACAGCTACGCGGACGCACAAAGAGCAGCATGGGGCTCTCTCCCACCAGCTGCAGTGAAAGGAGAGGAGGAGGAAATGGGGAAGAGGAGGGGATTCCTAATAGGCATAACTAAAGCACTCCTAATGAAAGGGCCCTGTGTATGCGAGCGCGTGTGTTCCAATGTTCAGCTGCGGCGTATGTGTCCGAGCGCCCGTGTGACAGTCGTTAGGGTTGATCCTGTTATAAAGTGCTATGGCCCAGAGGGTTGGCCTGATATTAAAGCCCTAAATGATGCTATTTATTATGTTGTGTGTGTCTGCGCCTGTGTGGGTGCGTTATTGCGCTCCTCCCCAGTGTTTGGAGAAAGGCGGTCACGGTGTATTGTTGTCAGGATCGATCGCTTCATGAGCAGGTCACAGAATTTCGGGGCTTATCAATAATGACGGTTGTGATTATTAGTTTATGGCTCAAAGGAACAAGGTAAATAAAACAGAACCCGTATTGATTCAATCCAGCGTATGTAAAGGGTATACATAAAAGATATCGACTGGACTTTAGATGTGTACATATTTTACAATGACCTCAAGTAAAGCTAAGGTACCAAACTTTTCATGAATAAGATATTTGTTTTTCAAGAGTTCTTCTACATTTTGTCTATACTTTTAAGAAAGAGTCCTGTGAGGCAATATTTGATGCTGGCTGATAGAGAGTGGTCCCCTCTTTTTAACTTTTCTCTCTTAAAAAGCTGATTCAAAGATCCCACAAATACATGCAAAAATTAATGATGGAGCCAGACTGTTTTGAGCTAGGAACAAGTTAGATGGACTTTATTATTGTTTGTGGTTTGAAAGTAGATTCCCTAGCTTTAAATACTTGTGGATAGTTGAATACACATAAGTTGTTATCATCTATCTTGTTACTTGATTCTATTGTTAATTAAAACCCATCACAAAATACATTTGGAACAGAGGGGGACGTTTCTATGTTTCACCCAGAGTTACCCTCTCCACCTTCATGTGATGGCACGCGTTTACTGTGACCCGATTTCGAGCCGTCGCACAGGTCAGGGCAGAAGGCGCTGCTAAGCATCCTCTCTGTCAAACCCATGGTCAGTTGCAATATATACTTTTTGTTCCTCCATCACCAAAATCCTTGACCCTTTCAAAAGTGCTCAACATAATCTCCTCCTGCTGTTAAAAAGAAAGCGCCGCTGTAGCCCCTCACGTCGGCTGTAAAACAAGGCTGTACGGGAGCTGTGGAGAGCAAGGGTCAAGCTGAGCATTATTGGCACACGTTGCACATTTGAAGCCCCCTACAGAGTCATTTCTTCGGCTCGCTTCCTCTCCGCAGTTAGACCCATGACCTCTAGCCCTGTGCCACCTCTAACGGTCCATACAGATCGATAGCGCTGCCCCTCCTGTTGAGCTGAATCTGTGCCTTGTCCATGATATGTTGCTTTGAATGTAAAACACTTCAAACACGCACAGTTTTCGTCCAATGACCACACAACTTTTGTACAGGTGCCAACCCGCTGCAGACCAACGGACTGGGACACACACCACGGACGTACGCCAAAGAAGGAGACGTGGGCACACTTCTGCACGAGTGGGAGGGCAAGGTATGATGGTGCTGTATACATGTGATGGTCCTTATCTTTTACAAAGCTACAAATCCAAACAGAAGTGTGACCAGGGACAGCTGATGCTCTCTTCAGGAGGTCTGCATGGCAACTCATTGATTGACAGGTGCTTTTCAGGATTTAAAATATGAAAGCTGCTTGAGGTCAACTGGGGTTAAAAACATCCGGAAGACTACATTGTGTTGTAAATTCACTGTAAATGAATTCATGAATATGGGTATGTACTGGGTATAATTACTCTAATGAAACATAAACATGAATTTGTTCTAAAGATAATGTGAACCTGGTGAAGTGAGTGTTTCTCCTAATGCAAAATGCTGTATATTTATTTCTTCTCTTACTCTATTTCCAAGTTCTATTTCATCCCTTCAGACCGCCAGAGGGCGGTGCATAGCACTGAATGTTCCCTTCGCGCATGCGCAGTTCGAGTAATAATACCAAATGAGTCACACCTGTGACCCCCTGGGTGACACACCGGAGGTAATAAAGTCCAGCGTCATCCAGCACTCTGTTCCTTTTTTCTTCTCGCGTGCGGTTCGAATCGTTGTTGCTTGAACCTCGTCAACGTCTGTCGCTGAGAGCCCTCTTCATCGGAGCTGCGGTTCGCCCTCCGTGGGGCGCGACGGTGACGTTGTCCTTCGGGTATTTATCGGTGTTTTCTGTACTATATGCGTGTGTATTGGTTGGTGTGAAGGCTGCTGTGGCGCCCGCTCCTCCGTCAGTACTTTCTTTTGGTACGTGCATTTCGTGGTGTGAGGGCTGCGGTTCGTTGGCCTGCTCCTCCGCCTGTGCATGTTTGAGTTAGCTTTGCTAACTGTGTATTGAGTGGTGTGAGGCTGCGGTTCGTTAGCCCGCTCCTCCATCGGTTCTTATTTGGGTTAGCCTTTTGCTACCTGTGTGGTGTGAGGCTGCGGTTCCGCTCCTCCATCCGTTCTTAGTTGGGTTAGTTTTTGCTACCCGTGTCCTCTGTGGTGTGAAGGCTGCTGTTCGCGCGCCCGCTCCTCCATCAGTTCTTCTTTGGGTTAGTTTTTATTACCGGTGTCCTCTGTGGTGTGAAGGCTGCTGTTCGCGCGCCCGCTCCTCCATCAGTTCTTCTTTGGGTTAGTTTTTATTACGGGTGTCCTCTGTGGTGTGAAGGCTGCTGTTCGCGCGCCCGCTCCTCCATCAGTTCTTCTTTGGGTTAGTTTTTATTACCGGTGTCCTCTGTGGTGTGAGGCTGCGGTTCCGCTCCTCCATCCGTTCTTAGTTGGGTTAGTTTTTGCTACCCGTGTCCTCTGTGGTGTGAAGGCTGCTGTTCGCGCGCCCGCTCCTCCATCAGTTCTTCTTTGGGTTAGTTTTTATTACCGGTGTCCTCTGTGGTGTGAAGGCTGCGGTTCGTTGTCCCGCTCCTCCATCAGTTCTTGTTTGGGTTAGCATTTGCTGCCTGTGTTTATTCTGTGGCCGGTGTATTGTGTGGTGTGAAGGCTGCTGTTGGCGCGCCCTCTCCTCCATCGCTACTTTATTTTGAGTTGGCGTTTTACTGCCGGTGTATTGTGTGGTGTGACGGCTGCTGTTCGCGCGCCCTCTCCTCCATCACTACTTTATTCGAGTGGCATTTTGCTGCGGGTGCATTGTGTGGTGTGAAGGCTGCTGTTCGCGCGTCCGCTCCTCCACCGTGCTATATTTGGCTTTTCTGTTGTGAAACTGCAGTACGTTGATTCAGTTTTGCAGTTTGTATACCGTTGGGGATTAATTACATATTTAATTAACGACGCAGTCGAAACAAGAATAATAATTTAATAATAATAATTAAAAAAATAAAAATAAAAAAAAAATAATAATAATAAAAGAAATACAACCTTGTTGTTATGGACGGGTCACATGCGTGTGTGGGCTGCGGGTCAGCACTCGATGTTGATGACGGCCATGACCTCGGCCCCACTCACTTGAGGGAGGCAGTGTCCGATAACCCGTGCATGAACTGCAGCTGCTTGCCCTGGGCTGTTAGGGTGGCGAGGCTGGTTCAGCTGCCTTCGTCTGGCGACGGTGGTAGTTTGCCAGTGGGACCTGCTGTGGCTCCGCCCCCTCGGCGTTCTAAGCGCCGTGCTGAGGCCTGTGCTTCAGGGGAGCGGTCTGATGGCCATGGTCCTTCCAAGCAGGCCAAGCCGGATGCTGTCCTGGTGTCGAGGGTGGAGCAGTTATCTGCAGAGTTGGAGGCGATGAAATCTGCATTCCAGGCACGTTGTGCTGCTGATGCAGTCTCTGGGGCTGGTTCTTGCTCCATGCCATCCCTCCATCCGGAGGAGGATGTGCTTTCTCTGGCGGCATCTGCTTCGTGCTTCCGGGACGAGGATGACGCGCGGTCCCTTTCGGGGGACGATGCTTATTCTTCCGCACATAGTGTGTCCAGCCGGTCTGGTGATGGCTCAATGCAGGAGGTTCTTCGCAGGGCCTTATCCCGTCTGCAGGTGGAACTTCCCCAGTCGGGACAGGCTGACCCTGGCAGTGTTTTTTTCAGGCGTGGTGGTTCGTCTCCTGCTTTTGTTGTGCCCCCGTCCGCGGAGTATCTGAAGGAGCTACACGCGTGCTGGAGGGACCCCAGCCGTCTCTCTAAGCTTTCGGCTGAGGGTCGGGCTTTGGCCGCGATGCACGATGCCTCTTCGGCTGGCCTGGATTGCATGCCGGCTGTTGAGCCGGCGGTTGCCTCCCTCATTGTTTCCCCGGAGGAGTCCTTGCGGGAGAATGTGAGGTGCCCTCGGAGCCAGTGTCGTGCGACGGATCACTTGCTAACAAAGGCCTACAATTCTGGTGCTCGAGCTGGCCGTATTGGTAACTCCTTAGCGCATCTGCTGCTTGCCCTGTCTGCCTCCCTCCAAGAGGGTAGTGCTGTGGGCACTGATGTTACTGCGTTTAGCGACGCAGCTCTGCACGCTTTTGCCTTGATGACCAGGGAACTCGGACGGGTCATGTCGATGTCGGTCCTTGTACAGGCTCGTCGGCAGGTATGGCTGGCTCAGTCTCCCCTGACTGAGGCCTGTCGTAGGACCCTCCGTGACGTGCCTGTCGAGCCGGGTCAGATGTTTGGGACGGCGGCCCAGGAAGCATTGGACCGGACTGTCCATGCTGGTCAGACTAGACAGCAACTTTCTAGCCTTAGCAGGGTGGTGCGCCCTCCCCGGCAGTTTTTGCGCCCGATGGTGGCCCCCGGTGTTCGGCAGCCTCCTCGGGATTGGACTGGTGCTCAGCGTTTTCCCCAGGTCAGGCCTGCCGGGAATTTTCGTGCCCCACCAGTACATAGGCGCCCGACCCGCCAGCCAAGTGGCGCCGCGGCTGGTCCTGGGCGGGGTCCCCCCAGAGCCCCTAGGGGGCGGGGGGCACGGAATTGACGCCTCAGGGCCGAGCGTCGGACATTTTTCCCATCAGCAGCTCGAGTGTTGGGCTGCTCGAGCTCGGGATCCGTGGGTGGTTGCCACATTGACCCACGGATACCGTCTGCAATTCCGACGCCGGCCGCACTTGTCGGGCCGGGTCAAGGTTACTTTGTTCTCGGACCCGGCAAAAGCCTTTATCTTGGATCAGGAGCTCTCCGCCCTCCTGACCAAGGGTGCCATCGAGGCGGTAGATCCGCTGCTGCAACCCAGGGGTTATTACTCCCGTTATTTTCTCGTGCCCAAGAAGACGGGGGGTTTTCGACCAATTCTGGATCTGAGGGGCTTGAATCATTTCCTGAAGGTCATTCCATTTCGCATGCTGACGACTGCGGAAGTCCTTCAGACTGTTGGGGCCGGGGAATGGTTCACGTCCGTAGATTTGAGGGACGCGTATTTTCACGTGCCCATTGCGCAGCCCCACCGGCGGTTCCTCCGGTTCGCCTATCGGGGCGTTCACTGGCAGTTCAGGGTTCTTCCCTTTGGCCTCTCTCTCTCTCCGAGGGTTTTCACCCGATGCGTGAAGGCGGCTCTTGCTCCGCTACAGGCCAGTGGCATGAAGGTGTTGCCTTATCTGGACGATTGGTTGATCTGCGCCCCGTCCAGGGCACGGTCCTTGGAAGATACGGAGCGCCTTCTGACTCATGTCGCCCGCTTGGGGTTCAGGGTCAATTTCGAAAAGAGCAGCCTGGTACCTTCGCAGGCCGCTGTTTTTCTTGGCCTGAGTCTGAACACGGTGACTATGACGGCGCGTCCGTCGGGGCGCCGCCTGGTCGACATCCACGGTGTGGTGTCCCGTTTCGGTCTTGGCACTCTGCACAGTTACGTCAGCTTTCTACAGCTGGTGGGGAAGCTGGCCTCGATCTCTCGTGTGGTTCCTCTCGGGCTGCTTTCGCTTCGCCCGTTGCAGAGGTGGCTGAACGGGTTTCGTTTGGATGCCGTTCGTCACCGCCACAGACGGTTACAGGTGACGTGGGCATGTTTTCGTGCTTTGGCTCCATGGAGGGACCGCGGTCTCCTGTCACGTGGGGTCCCCTTGGGGGTGGTAGTGTGCCGCAGGGAAGTGGTCACCACCGACGCCAGCCGTACGGGATGGGGTGCTGTGTGGCAGCGCAGGTTGGCCCGAGGGGTTTGGTCTCGGGCGGAGCGCTCAGACCACATAAATGTACTGGAGCTTCGGGCCGTCCACCTTGCTCTCCAGGAGTTTTTGCCTCACCTGCTGGGGAAACATGTCCTCATTCGTTCGGACAACACCTCGGTCGTGTATCACATCAACCATCAAGGGGGTGTCCGATCGGCTCGGCTCCTCGAGGTGTCTCAGGCTCTGCTGGTTTGGGCTGCGCCTCGCCTGGCTACACTGCGTGCAGCGTATCTGCCAGGGGACTGCAATCGCGTGGCGGACTCCCTGTCTCGCGGGAGGCCTGCCCCGGGGGAATGGTGTCTCCACCCCGGTGTGGTCCAGAGGGTGTGGGGCCTCTTTGGTCGGGCACAGGTGGACCTGTTCGCTTCGGTGGCCTCCACTCATTGCCCTCAGTTTTTTTCCCTGGACGGGGCTCCGGGCTCTCTCGGCCAGGATGCCCTGGCGCACAGTTGGCCTCAGGCCCTCCTGTACGCCTTCCCCCCTTTTCCTCTGATCTGGCCAACCCTCCAGAGGGTCCTTCGGGCGGGGCACAGTTTATTACTGGTGGCTCCGTTTTGGCCTGCACGGCCCTGGTTTCCACTGCTACTCAGACTTTGTTGGGCTCCCCCCTGGCCTCTCCCTCCCAGGCGGGATCTGCTCTCACAGCTGGACGGTCAGGTGTGGCATCCCTGTCCTCACCGCCTCAAGTTGTGGGTATGGCCGTTGGCTGGCCCGAGCTGCGGGCACTCGATGTCACTGGCCCTGTCAGGCGTACACTCCTGAATGCCAGGGCGGCCTCTACTCGGCGGCTGTATGAGAACAGGTGGAAGTTGTTCTCCCGCTGGTGTTCTTCCCGCGGTCGGGATCCCGTGTCGTGCCCGGTGGCGGTTGTCCTGGAATTCCTTCAGTCTCTCCTGGATGAAGGTCGGGCCCCATCTACTCTGAAGGTATATGTTGCTGCTATTTCATGTTATCATGGCCTGGTTGATAACTGTACTGTGGGGGGCCATAACCTGGTGTCTCTCTTTTTACGCGGAGCTCGTAGGCTGCACCCTCGCGTGCCCGCGCGGTCTCCGGTTTGGGACCTGGCCTTGGTGTTGGAGTCTCTCTGCCGCCCTCCGTATGAGCCATTGGCCCGAACGGACCTCAAGTGGCTCTCCTATAAGACTGCTTTCCTGTTGGCTGTGGTCTCTGCAAAAAGGGTCGGTGAGTTGCATGCACTTTCTGTCAGTCCCTCATGCCTACACTGGGATCCTGAGAGGGCTGGCGTGGTCTTGTGGCCTAATCCCACTTTCCTCCCTAAGGTGCTTTCCCGTGACTATTGTAACCGGCCTTTGAGGTTGGCGCGGTTTGTGTCCCCCCTGGATGGGGGTGAGGACAGACTGCACCTGCTGTGTCCTGTGAGGGCATTGGAGGCCTACGTTGCTGCGACGGCAGGTGTGAGGCGCTCAGACCAGCTCTTTGTTGCTTATGGTGGTGCTAGACTGGGAAGTCCGCTTTCGAAGCAACGCCTTTCCCACTGGGTGGTTGACGTTATCAGTCAGGCGTATATTTCGGCCGGCCGCGACCCGCCAGCCACGGTGAGGGCCCATTCTACCAGGGGTGTCTCTACCTCCTGGGCCGCTATGCGCGGGGTGCCGTTGGGAACTATTTGTGCTGCTGCGTCTTGGGCTACACCAAGCACGTTCACCAGATTCTATAACATCAATGTGGCCACTCCGGCTCCTCTTGGCGTGGTCCTTCAGGAATCCTCTGGCTCTCCTCCGTGAGGTGTGTGGTCAAGTTCCTTCGTGACATAGCTGGTATAAGGTCATTCAGTGCTATGCACCGCCCTCTGGCGGTCTGAAGGGATGAAATAGAACGAGGGTTACGTATGTAACCACGGTTCTATGAATCCCGGATGACCGCCAGAGGCGCTCTGTCACTCAGGGTCCTTGCATCCGCGAGAAGATTCTGCAGGAACAGAGTGCTGGATGACGCTGGACTTTATTACCTCCGGTGTGTCACCCAGGGGGTCACAGGTGTGACTCATTTGGTATTATTACTCGAACTGCGCATGCGCGAAGGGAACATTCAGTGCTATGCACCGCCCTCTGGCGGTCATCCGGGATTCATAGAACCGTGGTTACATACGTAACCCTCGTTCTCTTGTTGGTGAGGGCCTTGCATTGATTTGAGAGCGTTCTCAGTTGGACGTTTAAGTGGAAAACATGTCAACTCAGATTTAATGTTGTTTATTTGAGTAGTGTGGGTTTATCTAATTTCACTAAAATATGCAGTTTTCAATTAAGAAATAGATTTAATCAGGATTTGATTCTTGATCCTTTCGGTGTCAGGGCCAAAGATCAAATTCTTTTTTACACAAGTTTTTTAAATAAGCCAAACATTTCACACAAGAGAACATTTGTATCTTTTTTCAATAAAAGACTTTCTCCCTAAGTTGAAAAGCAAAGAGACAGGATTCTTTTTTTCTCCATATAATATAAACAGTGAGACAGAGTGCAATTGTTACATGGATGCAATGCATCATAACGTGTAAGTTAATTATATACTTAAGCACTAGTTCTCCCCTCCCTTTTCCATGGAGGCTGTCATCCGGCCTCCTCCCTCCTGATTCATGGCCCGTCTCCTCTGTTTTGGGTGTGTAGTTCCAGGAGGCGCAGGCTCGACGGGAGGCAGAGGAGCGCAGGAGGTTCCCCCTGGAGAAGAGGCTGAAGGAACACATCATCGGGCAGGAGGGGGCCATTAATACTGTGGCCTCAGGTAAACGCTCTGCCTCACTCTCAAGTCTGCACGCTGAATCTTAATGTTCACTTTTCCCCTCAATGTCTTATCGCTGTCGCAGTAGCTGTAGGCGGGCTCAGACAGACCGACGGAGGCTCTAATTGGTTAATTGTGATGAATGAGCTGCCCATCAGGCACACACAGGTGCTTGGTACATGTGTGTGCGTGTAGTTGTGTGTAGTTGTGTGTGACAGCTGAGAAGGCCAGGCCCAGAGCCGCCAGTTAACATGATTACACAGGGAGGAGACACAGCACAGAGCCAGTCCCTCACTCTTCCTCCGTCTGCTTCTCTTCCTTTCCCCCATCTTTGGTTTGTCTTTCGCTCTGCACATTACCAACTCTAAACAATAAAGACATGGTCGATCGTCCCGTTGACTTTGTAGTTGGCCCGAGATAGTGTCAGTGAAAATGGTGAACAATGAAGGGAAATGAAGGAAAGTAGTCCATCTCTAACTAGTCTGTTGTGCCCACAAACCCTTTGGCTCATCATTAGCATTCACATGCCTTAATGTTCGGCCACTGGCACAACTTTAGAGCAGCTTTTTCCAAAGAAAAGGGAAGTAGGGTGGATTACCTTTGCACCAGCCAATCAGCTCTTAGTTCAGAGAGTAGTCCCTCACAAGGCCCTTCCTTACAAACTCGCAATTGTTTAAATGTTTTTTTTTTTGGGGCAGCACAGTGTGAGAAGCACTTTTGCTTGGCTGCAAGATTTAGGGTAAGGGTTCGACCTTCCTTCAAATCCTAGTCTATTCAGGGTCTTTCACATTGAAGTTTGCAAGTTCTGTGTAGGTTCCCTCCTGGGGCTCCGGGTTTGTCCTACCGTTATACCGTTAGTATAATGTATAGTTGGTCAAATCCTCCAGCTCGGGTCCTGACCAAGTTGAGAACACACATCTGGCGATGGTCCTGCTCCTGACAGGTATCCTGAGTGGCTTTTCAAGTCGGGTCAAATACAGAGGACAATTCACTCTATGGGATCAAGTGTATCTTTCTTAAAAGTTAGATGCAATGTAAAAGTTGTCACTTAAGACAAAAGTGGAGCTGTTCAGTTTTAGGGAACGAACATTAATGGAATTTAATGGAATCTTACATGTATTGCTGTTTTTTTTATAAATTGTTTATCTACTGTAGATCTATTGTTGCATAGACAATAGACTTTCTTACTTACAAAATGATAAAACGGTGTTATTAGTTATCAGTTTGTTGTTTCAGGGTCTAATATAGGTCTTTCAATTCCCTTCCGACGTTAATCCGCCTATTATCCATTAGAAGAACAATCATGCAAATAAGCTAGGAAAACACAGCCAGCAGGGGTATCCGACAAGCCCTTAAGCCAACTACTTAGGGCTGCTATACGGAGGGATCTTCAGAACAGGAAGCTGAGGCAGAGGCGCACAGACAAAAGAGCCCGAGTGTAATGCATGAGGAGCAGCAGGATGAGTTAGGGCACAATAAGCCTGGAGACAGTAAAGAGCCGATATTACACCAGGCATCCATGGAGGCCTCGTATTGATCGCGCCACCATCCAGCCACGCAGGAGGGCGTCTGTTACTTTTATGACCGCGGACAGTGTAGATTTGTGAAAATAATCAAGCTGCATCCAAACCCACCAGCGATAGTTATCTTTGTTTATATATATATATATATATATATATATATATATATATATATAGATTAATAAAAAACATACGGAGTGAGAGACTAATATGTAGTATCTTAAAGTGAATGCAAGTCTGCGTAATGTCATCGGCGCATTTTGAAACACAAAGTAGAGGGAGGGAGGATTATGGAAGTTGTCGGTCTTTCAGCGGGCCAGTGAATGATTGCGGTTATCATGGCAAATTGTCCTGAAAGCCATAGAAGGACGTCTCTGCAGTGATAAAAGAACGGCTTATTGATTCCGCAGAAGTATTGCTCTGAATATAGCGCCCACAATCCTCTCTGAAATCTCCACACGCACTTTTAAGGAAACAGAGAAGAAGGGACAACATTGTATATATACTGTATACTATTACTTTGTGAGAGGAATAAAGTAAGTAAGTAATCTTTATTTGTTTCCCGCCTTTCACAGACCAGAGTCACAAAGCGGTTTACGATTGTTATTTTTGGGCATTTGTCTCTCACTCCACACAGCAAGGTCGCCAGTACAGGAGGTCCATGCCAGACCTATTGTACATGTTTTTAGTGGTAGGGGAAACCCGAGTACCCGGAGGAAACCCCACTCAGAAAGGCCCTGTTCCGACCGGGATTCGAACCAAGCACCTTCTTGGCTGAGTGCTATCCACTCAGCCACTGTGCCGCCTAAGGATAAAGGAATAACTTATCTTATGTACTGGGTAAGGGGCCGCGTTGCTTATGTACTGGGTAAGGGGCAGCGTTGCTTATGTACTGGGTAAGGGGCAGCGTTGCTTATGTACTGGGTAAGGGGCAGCGTTGCTTATGTACTGGGTAAGGGGCAGCGTTGCTTATGTACTGGGTAAGGGGCAGCGTTGCTTATGTACTGGGTAAGGGGCAGCGTTGCTTATGTACTGGGTAAGGGGCAGCGTTGCTTATGTACTGGGTAAGGGGCCGCGTTGCTTATGTACTGGGTAAGGGGCAGCGTTGCTTATGTACTGGTCAAGCTGTGATATTATAGGAAGATTTTCTTTTTTCTTTTGGCAGATTTTGAAAAGTAGGTCACTTAATTGTTTCATAAAAGAAAGTCAAAGCTGTGAACAAATCAGACCACAACAGGCTGTCCGCAACATCTTCTTATAAAACATGTTAAAACATGTTATTTTTTTCACCCTTGTAAGAAAGAGCCCTGCAAATCCCTATTTGACGATTTGGGACGATTGGCTGTAACTTCCACTTTTGATCTAAAGATATTTCAGAGGCCAACAGATGCATGTGGAAAGTAGTGATAGAAACAATATACAATCTTAATTATCCAAATAATTATGAAATACCACTTCAGTTGATGCATAATAAAACAATCCAAACCAAAAAGCTACAAGAATAGAAAAGTTTTTGAATGCAAGGTGTCACCCTCTCCTTTCCCTCTGATGACAAAGAACCGCCCTGTAGCTTCAAATATACTAGCTCCACACACAGGAAGGAGGCTCGGATTGATCCAGGTTTAGCTCTCAGGGCTAAGAGTTATTGAAGAGAATCATCCCGCCGTAATCGTGTTAGAGCCGAGCAGACCTGCCCAGAGCGCGCACGCCCAGCAGAGAGTGCGCGCATGCACGAGAGCCGGCATTCATTTGTTTTGCGTCTGCCGCTTTCCTTGTCATTGTCAGGCTCCTCTGAGAAATGTCAGGTTGCCCTTCTGTCAAAGTCGCTCTCAATCAGCTAAAACGCGCACACACCGAGAGAAGGTTACGGCGTCATTCGCGCAGCCATTGATAACGCGTAGGAACCCCTCTTGTCACTGCTCATCTCCTGACACACCTGTTCCTCCTCCTCTGTCTCCTTATCTCCTCACGCTAATATCTTCCCTCTCTTTATCTCCTTTTGCTCCTCTTTCCTCCAATTATCCCTCCATCCTCCTCCCGGGCTGTATAATCGGCCCATCTCCGCCTTCGCTTTGCTCTCTTCTAATGCCAAGCCCCAGCGTTTTATGATTATCGGCTATTAAGGTTTGGTTTAACGCTGGCGTACGTTTTATCAAACATTGCGGCTTCTGTCGTTCCAATGACCCTGACAATTGGATTGTTCTTCACGCGTAGTAGTTTAGTTGCTACCGGCAACCCAAGAACAAGAGTGGGGCCGGTAAACTGATCACAAAACAAGATATTCCATGGTTACTGTTTTGATTGCACAAAAGTCATATGTTGGTATTTTTGCTTCGTGTTGGCGCAAAACTGACGAGGAGGAGGCTCACAACAAAAAGGCAATGAAGGAATCTGATTTTTAGACATTGGGGCTTGTTTCTTGGGTTACGGTTTCCACAATATGGCATTGAACTTTCAACATTGAAGACGAGCAAGAGACTTCACTGGGTTATTTTACAGGTTATATCTGCGGCGAGGCGAGCTGACGCAATGTAAGTTTACGTCTTCTTAGTAGACTACGTCATTTGGTTCTTCTATACCAAACAATTGTGTGAAACCATCAAATCACACACCTTTAAAATAATGTTGTGAAAGAATTGACATTTTAATGAAATGGTATTTGCTTGGATCTACTTCTAACTTAGTAGTTAAAAGTACTTTCATAACTATGATGGTGTGATTGCAGATCCTTTTGTCTCGATTTTAACTTAGAAAAAAAAATGCAAATATCAAATTCTTAAACATTGACTAACCATCTGTGTCTAATTTATTTGATAGAAATGGGGCCTAAACAATTTTTCTTATTTAGACATTTTTAAAAATAGATTTCAAACCCTATTTTTTTTACATTCATTTGTTATTAAACTTAAACCACATGTATTTGATCAGTTGCATTGCCAACGTCTATTCTGCAGTTTAAACCTACAGTTTGTATTACTCTTATTTCTTGCAATTGTGACTCATTTTGTATGTGAAAAGTTCTAATATAGATAAACTTTACCAACCTACTTACATTTGAATTAAAGTATTGGACAATTTGGGACAGTATTGTTTTACTTCTTTACATAAACTCATCACACGGATAGCCAGCGACAGGGTGAAAAACCGTATGCCTCTCCCTCGCCGCTCCAGCCGTCAGCAGGTTACAGAGGGTCCATGCTCGTGTCCGCTCTGGTCATGTACCTGAATCTGAAGCCTAAAATGCGCTGTGCAAGTCGCCGCCATCCAGCTCATCATCTTGTCTTTGTGCATGTGTGCGCGGGCCGTTGCTGGGGTGATGGCAGGGTTGGGTAGGCACTCCTCCTTTTCAAGCGAGTGTGTGTGTGTGTGCAAGCCTGCGATCTATGCTAAACTGATTTGGGCATGGCCGCACCAGGGAGGCTAACGCAATTACTGTTGGCTAATGGCCCCACTGACTGAGAGGCGGGGGCATCAGCGCTGGCTTTCTGGAGGTCTCTCATCTCACTGCTTCTCCTCTTTCTCCTCTTCTACCATCAAACGCCTCTGACCCTTTCTTGTGTCTCGGCCGTGCTTTCAGTATGGTTCCTCATACGAGCCCAGTACCATGAGGTCAACTCACTTTTTCAAGGCTTGAACTTAATGCAGTTCATCATAAACCCTAAAGTGTGTCTGTCTTTGTCTTGTAGCCATCAGGAGGAAGGAAAATGGCTGGTACGATGAAGAGCACCCCCTCGTATTCCTCTTCCTCGGCTCGTCAGGAATCGGTAACTTGAAAATGATGCCAGTAATGTGTTTTAGTCAGGCGGTTAACCATTTAAGCGCCAAAGTAGCAGGATTTCTGCATGAACTTTCTATACAGCGACCTGGCTTCCTACCAACGCTTGAATTTACAATTTGTTCCTGTATTTGTCTCTGATGTTTGTGGTCATCTATCTCTTATAAAGTTTCAGTAGCCCAACCTTTTTGAAAAACAAAACACATCCGCCTAGGCAAGGCAAGAAAAGTTTATTTGTATTGCACAATTAATACGCAAGGCAACGGAAGGCAACTGCTGAACAACATGAGATGGAGACGGTCACACAAGGAAATACCGGATTCCGATTCAGTTTATTTGCCATTTGCAGTAAAAACACCACATTGGAATACATTAGCAAAAAGTCTCCAGTGTGCACAGACAAATACAGACATAAAACAACATTAAAAGACAGAAATAAAACAAATAAAACAGTAAACAAATGTCACTGTGAAATCGATCGACTAAAACAGTTTCAAAACAAGTGCAAATCATTAAACGATTATAAATAATCATAAATAATCACAGTACATTGAAAAAAGTAAAGATAAAATCCCTCAGTTGTAGCACAGCTAAACAGAACTGTTTTTAATCTGGATTTGGACATTTTCAGAGAAGGAGCCTGTTTCACATTTTTAGAGAAGACTGTTCCAGATTATAGCAGCCTAATGGGTCATCACACACATCTGTTGATACTACAAAAAATACTGAATTTTACGCCACTGCAATCATTTATTAATACTCTGTTTGGACAATTAACTATGATTTTAACTCAAAATTAAAGATGCACTGCTTTTTCAAGTGCGATGCCGATCCCAATACTTAAGTCCCAAAACCGATACCAGTGAAGAGAACTATTACATACCAGTCTCATTGTGTTTTAAACCAGCTGCTTGTCCTGTGAGTCAAAGTGAAACAACTGTATATGACATTCTGAGCGCAAATCAGACAATAAAGACTCTTAAAGTCAAAATAAATGACTATTCACAATATCACCTGAACCGAGATCATCAAACCGATACCTGATCCTACAACATCTCCAATATCAGCACTGATACCCGATGCCAGTATTGTATGGGAGCTTTAAAATTATGTTTTTTTTTTATGGGGCCACATTCATAGTTTTCTACTATGAATAAAAAAAGATTCTGATGATAATTAGTGTTATATGTTCTTCTCGTTTTGTTAAAAATGCATCAAGAAATGTCAACGTTGGTCTATGTTTATGTTATTATTTTTGGTTTTGATATTTACTCAAATTAGTATCCATTTTTTAAAACGACTGCAGTCAATCACTAAGACGGAGGATATACAATGGGATAATGAGGTAATCTAAAGCTATTTGGTTCTAAAACCTAAAAACAGCCACACCAGATCTAATATACAGTGTTTACAAAAAAAATTCTCCAGACACTCATCCGTCTCGTCTGCTACATAATCCAAAATGCCATAAATCCATAGCTCGTATCTAAACCAAGAGATACTCAAAACAAAAGCACACGTCTGTTCATAAACATTAGATTAAGTCATCCCGTCACAGCCGTGCATTCGAATCACTGCGTACGCACATTTTTGCAGCCGTGCAAGTCGACTGTTTTGAAGTTTGAAGTCGCAGAGATGGATAAAGCGGCAGGAGACATGACAGGGCCCAGAGATGGATGGAGGAGAGCCGGTGTTCATATTCTCTGGTGCCTTCAGCGACAGATAGTGTCCATGAAACATCAATATTAAACATCAGCAACAAGACGCACACAGCCTCCCCTCGCGCATCAATATCGCACACACACACACACGCACACGCACATACACACGCACACACACACACTCAGAATTTCTTACTGACAAAACTGATGCATGCTGCGGTAGAACGGAGGAATGCTGAGTGCTTTATGGAGGGTTTGAATCTTAAGAGATCCTTTTATTTGGCCCTAAAATTGGTGGGGAAATTTTAAGTGTTGCATTACCGGTTACAGGACAGTAGGAATGAGGAGCACACAACGCAAGATAAATGAACAATAACTAAATATTGAAATAAGATAAAAATCGGTTTAGCATGAAAAAGACTGCTCCAACTTTAGCACAACAAAGAAGAAGCCAGAATTAGGACAAAATCTTCAGCAAGCATTCATTTTGTGTAGCTGATGTTATTTATGTAAGCTTAATATTTATCATTTGTTTTTCTTGATAATGTAACTGCTTTTGAGGAATTGTTTTGTCGATTTCTGTTTCAGGCAAAACCGAATTGGCCAAACAGGTTGCCAGATACATGCACAAAGACATCAAGAAGGTGTGTCTACAAAACAAGACATAAACAAATGCATAATAACAATATTGCACCGTTTTGTGATCGTAGGGCTTCATTCGTATGGATATGTCAGAGTTCCAGGAAAAACACGAGGTAACTTGAACTTTATAGACTTTTATTGGAAATGTCAGTTTCCAATGTTTTGTAAAAATTGTTTTTATGGACAATCAATGTAAAACAAGGCGCAGTGAGGAGAAGCCATTTGTCTCAAACGTCCTGGCCGCGCATTCATAGAAATGATGCATTGGATTAATTCACTTTATGTTTTTCATAAATCGAACTGATGTTTTTTCTATAAATGTCTCTTGATTTTGATGATGAATGCTTGTAATTATTGGACATAATTTCACTGTTGATAGAGAATTTTTGCCCATTTTGTTTTTATGAACCAGTTTCCATGGTTTTAGACACAAATTATACACGTTTTCTATATTTTATCGACTTGTAGGTGGCAAAATTCATCGGCTCTCCTCCGGGTTACGTGGGTCATGAAGAAGGGGGTCAGCTGACTAAGCTGCTGAAGGCCTGTCCCAACGCCGTGGTTCTGTTTGATGAAGTGGACAAAGCTCACCCTGATGTCCTCACCATCATGCTGCAGCTCTTTGATGAAGTAAGTAGAAACTGGAGTCGTTCATACGGAATGTTTGAAGAGATGCAGATAAAATAAGAGAACCTCTGAGAATTCATCCCAGAGTGGGGAAATGTTAATGTTGTAGCGCACGTACAGGACGGTAGTAAGAGCACACAGGGAAATTAGTGTCTATTTTTGATATCTATATCTATCTACAAGTAACTATCACTGCAGTTAATTACTAAGATGGAGGATATACAACGGGGTAATCTGGGTGACACAGTAGCTCGCTTCTCAGCAAGAAGGTCCTGGATTCGAATCCCGGCCTTTCTGAGTGGAGTTTGCATGTTCTCCCCGTTTCCTCCAGGTACTCCGGTTTCCCCTACCACTAAAAACATTGTCAATATGAATGTAAAGTGTGAGTTATCAGATGCTGAACGGGGCTTTGATGCACCAGTGTGTTTCGGCGTCTCGCTTCCGTCATCGCCTCGTGTGGAGAGAATGGAACAGTATCTAAACTCTGAACACTGTAAAGCGCTTTGGGTCTTTATAAATGCTCTACATAAAGATTACTTACTTACTCACTGATCTAAAGCTTTTTTGTTCTATAATCCAGCCCACCAGTTCTGATGTAAAGTGTTTCAAAACAGACAAGCCAAATTCTCCAGACATCTATCTCGTCTGCTACATAATAATAATAATAATAATAATACATCAAACTTATATAGCGCTTTCTTGGACACTCAAAGACGCTTCACATGGGGAGTAAAATACAATAATAAAAAGGGGTTTACGGAAAAGCTTGTTTGAAAAGATGGGTTTTGAGTACTGATTTAAAGTTTGATAGTGAGTCGGAGTTTCTAATGAGCAGTGGGAGTGAGTTCCAGAGGGTTGGGGCGGCAATGGCAAAAGCTCTGTCCCCCAAGGTTCGGCGGTTAGTGCGGGTGATGGGGGTGAGGAGGTTGGAATTGGCTGAGCGAAGGCGGCGGGTGGGTTGGTGCTGCTGTAGGAGCTCAGTAAGGTAGGGCGGGGCCCGGTTATGGAGGGACTTGTAGGTGAGGAGAAGGAGCTTGTAATGGATGCGGTATTGAACGGGAGCCAGTGGAGCTGCTGGAGGACAGGGGTGATGTGTTCTCTGGACCGGGTGTGGGTGAGGAGGCGGGCTGCAGAGTTCTGGATGTATTGCAGTTTTTGGAGATGAGTGGTGGGAAGTCCGTAGAGGAGGCTATTGCAGTAGTCGAGTCTGGAGGTGATGAATGCGTGGATGAGGATTTCGGCTGTTGACTGGGTAAGGGAGGGGCGGAGGCGGGCAATGTTGCGGAGGTGGAAGAAGGAGGTTTTGGTGATGTGTTTGATGTGGGTTTGGTATGAAAGGGTGGAGTCCAATATGATGCCAAGGTTGCGTACAGAGGATGAGGGGGTGACAGTGTGACCGTCAATGAGGAGGGTGAAGTTCTGGACAGAGGGCAGGAGAGTTTTGGGGCTGATGATGAGGAGTTCTGTTTTGTTACTGTTGAGTTTGAGAAGGTTATTGTCCATCCAGGTTTTAATGTCGGAGATGCAATTTTCGATGGTGGAGCGAATAACCGGGGTGATGGATTTGGTGGAGATGTAGAGTTGCGTGTCATCGGCATAACAGTGGAAATGGAGTCCATGATGGCGGATGATCTGACCGAGGGGAAGCATGTAGATGGTGAAGAGGAGAGGGCCGAGCACGGAACCTTGGGGGACACCGTGGGTGACGGGGGAAGTGTGGGACTTGCAGTTGTTGACAGACACGAAGTGGAGACGATTGGAGAGGTAAGAGGTGAACCAGAGGAGTGCTGTGCCAGAAATTCCAATGGATTGTAGACGGTGGAGGAGGATGGAATGATCTATTGTGTCAAATGCAGCGGAGAGATCGAGGAGAAGGAGGATGGATAAGGAACCAGAGTCGGCAGCGAGGAGGAGGTCGTTAATAACTTTGAGAAGTGCTGTTTCTGTGCTGTGGTGTGTACGGAATCCAGATTGAAATGTTTCGAAGAGATGGGAGGAGTGGAGATGTTGGTGGATTTGGTTGATGACGGCGCGTTCCAGGATTTTTGACAGTAACGGGAGGTTGGAGATGGGTCGAAAGTTGTCCAAGTTGTCAGGGTTGAGGCCGGGTTTTTTCAGGAGGGGTGTGATGGAGGCTAGTTTGAGCGGGGAAGGGACAGAACCAGAGGTTAGGGAAGTGTTGATGATGCAGGTGATGAGAGGGATGAGAGTTAGTTGACAGGTTTTGAGGAGGGAAGATGGGATTGGATCAAGCTGGCAGTTGGAAAATTTCATGGTTGAGAGAAGTTTGGTGGTGTCAGAGGGAGAGAGGGGGGAGAAGGAAGGAAGGCTATGGACTGTGGGTGCAGTGGGTTCAAGTTCGGAGTCGGGAGAAGAGGAGGAAGTGGAGGCAAGTGAACAGTGTATGGTATGGATTTTGGTATGGTATAATGACAGGTAGTTATTGCATTTGTCTGTAGTGAATGTGGAGGTTATATTGTCCTTGGGTTTTGTCAGATTTGCAAAAGTTGAGAATAGGGTGCGGGGGTTGGAAGAATTTGAGTGGATGAGTTGTGAATAGTAGTTGGACCGGGCAGTTTTGAGAGCAGAGTTGTATGTGGTTGTGGCTTGTTTGTAGGCTTGTGCATGAACGAGGAGACCAGTTTTTATATGGAGCCTTTCAAGTTGTCTCTTTTGTTTTTTGAGACTGTGGAGATCTGGGGTATACCAAGGGGCGGAGGTAGAGAAGGAGACTGAGGCAGTTTTCATGGGGGCAATTTGGTTGAGGCAGGAGGAGAGTGTGTGGTTATAGAAAGTGACTAGATCGGAGGCAGATGGATCTGAAGGGAGGGAAGAGCTGGATAGGGCATGGGATATGGAGGAGAGAGATATGGGACAAATGGACTTAAGATTTCGGAAAGTAATTGTGTCTGTTTGGTGGTGGGAGAGGGGGTAATTATGTCCAGGGTGATGGCCAGATGATCAGAAATGGTCAGGTCGGTGAGTGACAGGTTGTGTATGGTGAAGGAGGGGGTGGAACAGACCAGATCCAGGATGTGTCCATGGTTGTGTGTGGGTGAAGTGACGTGCTGGGTGAGGTTGAGACAGTTTAAAATGTCCAAAAAGTCAGATGTAAATTTAACTGTAGGGGAGTCAATATGAATGTTGAAGTCACCAAGGAGGAGAACGGATGGAGAAATGGAGGACAGCTGAGTTACGAAATCAGTAAAATCTGAGAGAAATGATGAGCAGGTTTTAGGAGGGCGGTAGATGACTGCAGCAATGAGTGATTGGGAACCGGGAAGTCTGAAGGCCAGGTGTTCGAATGAAGATACAGCCGGGATGGAGATGGGGCGGAGGGAGATGTTGCTGCGGTGGATGACTGCAATGCCACCTCCTCTCCGGTCTAGGCGTGGGTTATCGATGTAGGAATATCCAGGTGGGGTGGTCTGATTTAATGTGGTGTAATCTGGTTTGTGCCAGGTTTCAGTGAGACAAAGTATGTCCAGTTTATTGTCAATGATGAATTCACAGAGGAGCAGGCTTTTATTGCTGAGTGACCGTGTATTGAATAGTGCTGTTTTTAGAAGCTTTTGTTGTGAAGTTTGTGTGGCAGAAATTCGGACAGACTGGAGGTTTGATGTAGTCACGTGATGAGTGCTCTGATGACGTATGCGGATGTTGTTGGAACCAAGCCGGTGTGAGCTGCGCATGGATCTGCAGGCGGACCAGACAGAGGGAATATTGCTTTTGCCTGTGAAATTGAAGACAAGATTGCGACGGGACCCTCGGTGGATGTAGGGGCGACGGCGGACAAGACAGTGTTGTTGCAGAGTTGAGGTGATGACCAGTGAAGGAGGTGCGCGGTGGTTGAGTCTGATGAGCTGTGAGGACGTGTAACGAAGCGCCATGGACGGAGCCGGTGTTGACAGGAGCCGCAGAGAGGCCAGCAGGAAAGCCACGAACAGTAGCCGCATAGCTGGCTGGCTGCTCCGGGGTGCAGGCCGGCCAGTAACCGGGCTGTAATCCGCTGATTGAGAAGAGCACAGCGCGGCTTGGCCGGAGGCAGCCCCGGGAGCAAGCGTGATGGTGGGCACAGCAGGGACACACCGTGACAGGCTGTAGCAGGCGGCAGACGCGGGCAATCAGTCAAGGAAACAGTCCAGGCGCCGATGCATCAGACAAAAATCGGTACGTTAAACCGTTTACTTTTAGCAAAAACAAACTTTTTCGTCCGGAGTGAGAAGCGGCAGCAAAAACGCGCCCGCGTCCTCTCGCATCCGGGAGAACATAATCCAGAAAGTAGATGAAGTGACATTTAGTGGATATTCTGAACTTGCAGTATTTACTTATTTCCAGATGAGATTACATATACAGCAGTTCTCATTGTACAGTCTGACAGCAGCAGGAAGGAAAGACCTGCGGAACCTCTCTTTCACAGGGAGGGTGAATACGCCTGATACGATAACCGCTGTCTGCTGCTTTAGGGCCGCCTCACGGACGGGAAAGGGAAGACCATCGAATGCAAAGATGCCGTTTTTATTATGACTTCCAATGTCGCGAGTGACGAGATCGCCCAGCACGGTCTGCAGCTCCGCCGAGAAGCCGAAGAGGTCAGCCGCAGGAGACTGGTGGACAGCCTGGGTAAGAGGGCAGGGGCATGCACAGTAGATATGTTTATGAGGCTAATGCTAGCGTCACAGAACATTCATGATGGTGTCCACGCAGATGACGTGCAAAAAGGTGACGAGATCCAAATATCCCGGCAGTTCAAAGACTCAGTGATTCGACCGATTCTTAAGGTAAAACGCAACATGATCTTTGGCATGTGGAACAACGTGCATTAGTAGTTTTCTTGTGTTGTTTTGAAAGGGTCATTTTCGACGGGATGAGTTTCTGGGCAGGATCAATGAAATAGTCTACTTCCTCCCGTTCTGTCACTCGGAGCTCCTGCAGCTTGTGGGTAAAGAGCTCAACTTCTGGGCAAAGAAGGTAAGAACAAGGAAAAGGCCAGGGGCCGTATTCCTAAAGATTCTAAGAGTCCTCTCAGAGAGCTCTTATCTTAACCTAAAAACTCCTAGCTAGGAGTCTTAGCTTAAAAGTTATTCCAGAACACTCTTAGAGAACTCTGAGCAAGGAATTGACAACTTTTATCTTAGTGAGGAGGCGTGGCCGACCCCGTTGCTAGGTATGAGTCATCATTTCAGACGCTGTGATTGGTTGATCTTAAAAGTTAGTAAAAACATATTTTTGATGATAATGGGCAAAATAAGGGCCCTAAAATGGACAAACTCAATCATGGAATCTAATCTTAGGAATACTGTGTTATTGTAAATAATAACCAAACGCTATAAAGTCAGATATATCAATGGTGCATAAATACTGTGAATAGTAAAGTTAGACTTATACACCATCATCAGAGCTTGCTCAGCACCAATTTCTAACAAATACATAGTACGTATATATCATGAGCACTTATAATTTTATATTATATATATATATATATATATATATATATATATATATATATATATATATATATATATATATATATACATACAATTTAAATATTACTCTATATATAATATACATGAAAAAGAAAATTATTATTATAAATATTATATGGATAAATGATGATAGTGATAACGTTAGGATTAGTAAAGGCTGTGATACTGACAGACGTATAAGGCATTAAGGAAACAATATTAATATAAACATATTATACATACACTGTACAAATCAAGTACAAGGGAGTTTAAAAGTCTTAACCTCTCTCACTCCTTTTTGAGCTGGATTGTTGTTAATAAAACAAAACTGTATTTGTACTTCTATTCTGTTGTTGTTTTGTTTGTTTTTGTCCTTTTTTCTTGTTTGCCATGGCTCAAAATAAAGTATTCATTCATTCGTACTGAATGTGTGAAAATGTAGGCCCACTTGTACAGTATTAACGCAATAATAGTTACATTTACTTGCTTTTATTATTACCATGCTGGTTATTTTCTCTCTTTCAACTTTCACCATTTCTACTTACTTTTGTGTAACAAGGGTAAAATGGATGAGTTGTTATTGCTGACCAGCCTATAAGAAGCTGGTCACATGATTGACTTTTAAATATTACAGAAGCATAATTCCTGCTCGACTCAATCTGTAGCGTTTCACTGATTCACTGTCATCCAGTGTATAGAATCTTTCTCCTGTCTCCACCGTCCACCATTTTGTGCTCTTAGGGAACTTTTAAGTCGCTAAAAGTCCTCCTCTCAACTCTTAAGGGATCTCCCCTTAAGAGCACTCTTAAGAGCTAGGATTCTTTAGGAATAGCTTTTATCTTAACTAGGAGCTACTCGTCACTTTTAGGGGAAATTCTAAGAGTTGGTCAAGATTCTAAGAAAATTCTTAGAATTTGGCCACTAGGAGCAACTTTTAGCAGTAAGAATCTTTAGGAATACGGCCCCTGATTTGTGACGAATATATAAATAGTATTGGTCCCTTGTGAGGCTTCCTAAATGCGTTTTTCTGAATGGATACCCCCAGTCTGCACAGATCAATAGTGCCACTGCTCACTTTAATGTGATTAACATGTGGAGCCCTCATAAATATTTAATTATTCATATTTCAGATGGTTTCCTTTGGGCCCTTTATCTCCTGATAACTATCATGATGAC